ATGTTTTTAGTATTCAGTAGATGAATCGATTTACATAAGAATAATGAGATTTACTTAAGAGGCTATCAGTCACTTTTAAGCTTTGCAAAATCTAGGCAACGAATTATTTGGAAATTTTTGAAATATTTAAAGCCATTTTTAATGCTTCTCCCCCCATTTGACCAATTTCAGAATCAAACCACTTGCTCGTGCAGCATTTACATTGATGGAGCCGTAATCAAATGCTCCGGACCCCAAGAACCCGCAACTAGCATGGAACGTCTGAAGTCCAACCATGTCGAGATCCGTGAGCTATCCCTCGAAAACGCCAAGCATCGTCGAGGGTATTTGTATTTCTCCCCGATTTCTCGAGCTCCCCCACAGCTGTGATTGGACCAAACGCCTTCCAAGAACCTTCGGATCAAGAGCTCGTTTGGGACAAGAACCGCATCACTGGGTTCCACAAGGATGCTTTCCGTGAGCTCGAAAATGTGTTGATCGAGCTGTCGTTACCAGCAGAACCGTATGCCCCAGGTATGTTCCAGTTTTGGGTCCATTTTCTGGTAGTTTGCACAGCTGGTTTTTCGACCCTATGAAAACCCTGTTTGCACGGGATTCAGCTCAATATCAGTAGATCCGTTCCATCGCCCGAAGAAATCACCGTCCCAGCGCGGGAATTTGGGTCGTTGATGCGCTGTAGTTTTATTGGGCGGAAAAATTCCACAAACTCTCTTTTCCGGCGTTCCGGATCCGAAGAGGAAAGGGTGGGGAGCTCGGTTGCTTGTTGTCTGTCCTTGCCCCCTGATCTGCATAGCCGAGGGCAGGCCCATTATCAGCTAGATCTTTCGCCTCGGAATGTCAGTCAAGGTCAACAAGAATTGGAGATGGTGCTAAAGGGGAAAGTTGACGATTTCTTTTCAGCTTTGAACAATGAACTCAAGGTGTCTGGGGTGATAATTTGGGCACTGGGTAGGCGGATTAGTAAGGTCCCGGTAGCGTGAGGGTAGCATAAGATCACACCACTCCCGAAACTGACCGAAAAGACAGGTCCGTTTTAGAGTTGTCATATTGAAATCAGTCCGCCAGCCCAAGACTGGCCGATCCCAGTTAAAAAAATCTCTGTTCCAAATTGCTAAATAAAAAAAATTCAAATTTAATTTCATTCTAAAAACCTGATTTAGACAAAAGGTCTTCGTTTTAATCTATTACCGATATAGCATTTTAGAATAACACCAGACGTCCTCCGATCTGAGCCCGAATAATAAAACTAGTTGCCAACAAGAACCAAAAAACGTCGATTCAGGTCCCCACAGATGCCCTCAATGGACTTTGTGCCCCCTCCAAGTCCTCAACATGCGTTGCAACAAAATCAGGAAACCCACGACTTCCACTTTCAACAACCTCCCATCTTTGATTGACATCAATATGGGGATGCAGCAGTACAACCTCAGAAAATTCAGCCCAACATCTCTCTAGATCTGCAAACTTGATGAGCACAGCTTCGAAGGTGTCCGCTCAGCACACTGCAGAACGTTATCCTCGATAACCAACTGCTTCCTTGAGATCCCCGTCAAAGGCCATCAGGGGAATGTCCAACCTTATCAGTCTCCACCTCAAGTACAATAAGGTTCCCTCCAGCTTCAATGATCATCCTCAAGAAATTGCTTTTTAGATTAACAAGCTGGTGAAGGAAGACCTTACCGATATGCGCGCACTTTCGATGGAAAAACTCAATAGCAACAATATTTCATCCATTGCCACTGATGCCCTAGTGAACACACCCTCGCTACAATTATCTCTACTTGGCGAAAAATGCTCTGAAGACGTTGGCCCCTAATTGTTATGGCCCAATTCAAGCAAGCTCAGGTAGCGTGAAGAAAATTGCTACAGGCACTTTAATGTTTTAGGTTGTTGATCTCTCATTCAACGATTTGGAGGAAGTGACCCCTGAGATGTTCTCTGGACTCGAGTCTCCGCAGCACATCAACCTCGAGTCAGACGCCATCAGCAACCTGGCCCCTGGAGCTTTTGAGGAAACTCCCATTCTCTTGTTGTGGCTGCCAAACAACTGCTTGACAACCCCCCCCAAGGAGATGCTCCGCGAGTTATGTTCCTCCGACAGGTTTGTAAAAATAAAGATTTACTAGACCATTACGAATTACCACATAGGAGTTTCCCTGGCCAACAGCAACATTCCCATCATCGAGCCTGCCTCCATTGCCCACATTTGGTGAACTTGCACACCTTGGATCTGGCCGAAAACCGGATTCTCTCACTCCAAGAGGAGGCCATTGTTGGCAGTGACCATCCTGACTGTCCGTCTCCATGAAAACCCGATGGTTTGCGGCCAAGATGGATTCCATGTGATGAACGGTGGAGGGACCATCAACCTCGCGACTGAAGCCAACGTTATTTGCCGTGGGGTCTGGCAAGCTGATGGGTTGGATCTATACCCCAAGAAGGGACCAGAAACCGATCCCGCCCCCCCATGCTGTGTCCCGGTAAGTTAGCAAGATATATAAAATTAAAAATGGCAACAAATTCCAGCCTACCCCCGCCCCTGCCACTGCTACCGCCGAGCTTCCTTGAAAGCCACCCACGGCCCAGACTCCGAAGATGACCACTAAGCGGAGTAAAGGGGAGGAGGCTGAGCCAACCGATGAGAGCGGGGGAAAGTATGAAGAAGTTGATGATGAGGAGGAAAACCAGACCACAGCTTCCAAGTGAGTTGACAACACCTAATAGCTCCAGTCCCTTACAAGTTAGAAAAGCATGCTGTAATTTGGACTTTTATAGGGCCGCCACGACCCTGAAACCGAGCACCACCACCGAGGCTGAGCCTGAAAGAGGAAGAGGAAGAGGAGGGAGGAAGTCACTACCTATAAGCCTCACCACAAGATCAATATGGAGCCAGTGAGTTCTAGAACCTTCTTAAAGAGTCGACTTAAAAAACTCTGACTTAAAAACTAATTTTCAGCTTCTGGCGATTGGCCCCAACACCCATCACCCAACTCTCCATTTATGAGGCACCAAAAGGCCCTTGGCGTCAACACTGCACCCCAAGGTTCTAAAGGGAGTAAGTTGAATCAGACTGGATTTAGTAAAATTTGATTGAATTAGCCCTGAGGAACAGAAAACAGCGGCACCGAGCGGAGGCGCAAAGTTCTTGGGAACTGTTGCCTCGAAAAAAAACTCGACCACCACTGAGGGACCTAAAAGGAGGGATGAGTACGAAGAAGTACGAATTACACTTATTACTGTATTAACTGATGTACTTTAGGAATATGAGAGGGCCAGGAAGAAGAGGAGACGGAGGAGAAGCCCGAGACTTCGACTGCCCCACATCCAAGAAGGTTCACTCAAGAATTGCTTGAACGACAAAGATGGATGTCAAACAAGGGCTGGAATTTCAAGTCCAGTGAAAAGGTATGTAGCATTGACGGTATTTAAGAAACTATAAATCTTGAGACAACAAACCCACTGATGTGAAGCTGAACCCGGTGTCGACTTTGACAAAGGATGCTGAAGAGAAAACCGTTCAGGTCGATGAGAGCTGCCCCCAGACAATAAGCTTTCAAGCCCCCACACATGCATTCCCTTGTATCCGATCTTCAATGAACGTCCGTACATTTCCACTCTTTGTGATAAGTGATTACCTCACCGAAGTCTTGAAAGGAAAACTTGCACCTGACTTACCAGATACGCTTTCCGGGAAAAGGACTCTGTAGCTTCAGTTGCGCCATTTCGTACGGAGCTTGGCATGGGGCCTGTGGGGAATAGTAATTTGACAAAGACCTAGAACGAATATAAAATTCTTTAATTTGAGAGAGATTCTTACCCCATTTAGCGAGATCACAGCAGCAACAAGTTTTGAATCTTGCGGTTTTCCGTTTGTGAAGAATTTTTGATCGCTTGATAGCATATCGGCAAAGCCTAAAAGCGATCGTGGTACGAATTAATGGTCAGCCTCACTAGAAAGTTCATCAACAAGCCCGGGTAAGCTGCAAGTATTGGAAATGGTCAACATGGCGCATTGATGCTGCCTTGTGGTTCGATGAAGAGGTTGACCTGAAGTAAACTACTTTTTTGTGCGGGTGTAAAATCCTACCTGATCATTTCGAAGTGTGACAGTTCCAAGGAACGAGACATCGGTTACTAATGGAATGGTGTGCGCAAATTCGCCGTGACTCATGTCGACCCATAGGGGCGATGTCTTGATCCACCATTGTTCACCTTCTGAAAAAAATGAAACTTTGCAACCGGCGCTTTACTTACGCAGCCAGTCCAAATACAGTGCTCCCTATTGCCCATTTGAATGAAATCACTCCTAAACGTCGATTTGCCCCTCAAATTCAGCTACCGTGACAAAATCGATCATCTAAAAAATATTATAAGTTGTTTAAAACTAAACAATATATTGATTCTTCTCTACAATCTGCTCGAAATGTTTTAAACTACTTAGACTTGGATATATGGTAGCGGCTAAACAGCTATTCTTTTCTTTCTAGCTCAAAACTTAACAAAGTATAAAGAAGCTTTTGGCCAAGTCATATAAGATTAACCTTGTGATCGATTCCATTAAACGGATGATCGGATAGTTCCAAAAGTTGTTGTTAGTCGCCGAAACCATCGATAAGGGAGACGATCATTCGTTCGCGGCCGTCGATGCTCGTAAGTTATTATCGCTCAACTGCACGATTATCTGAAAATGCAACAGAATTATTGGCTTCCGGTATGCTAATTACCTTTGGCATTACAATATCAACACGAATGTCGCTAGTTAAGATCGGCTCCATTCCTGGAGTATCTGCTTCGATCTGAAAAAGCAATACTTGTTATTTACAATTATTTAAACTTATGGCTCATAAACTTATTTAATTGCAACTTACAATAGCCGTTTGCAAATTCTGCAGCACAAACAAACACCATCTCAAGGTATTTTTGTCAAACAACAATGAAAATGGTCCAAGTTGAGCGTGAGTGGCGGGTGGAACTAAAAAATAGTTTTTTTATGATATCTAGAACCAACCTGGTAATTTATCGGTCATCGGATGATAGTAATTGGCAAATTCGACAAATAAAATGTACTGATCATTCGGGAGGGATTTCTAAAGTCGATTTAGAATTTGGTAAAGATTCTGTACCTTAGCGTGACGGTCGCATGTAAACATATTTTGAAGCTCATCCTTTTTCGTTTTCCGATCAGATACGCACTGTATGTTAATATCATAAACCCGGAAAACGACATTAAACGACATCAGATCTGGCCACGAACGTCCGAGTCTCATTTTACCAGTTTCTTCTGTAAAACAATGTAACTGCAGGTTGTTTTGAAAACAAACCTTGCTTCTCACACATCCTTTCTAAATGGTTCTTCAAATTGTTTTCCATCCATTTTGAGTTTCGTTTGGAGCTGTGTAACGAACCCAATGAGATCTGAAGGAAGAGTTGATATATTTCAATACGAATATAGCACCAACCTGTCTGAAGAGGCTAGCGTTTTTGGATAAATATCGATGAGAAGGGCGATGAGAGTAAGCTGTATCGCTCCGCTATCAATATTCCAATCAGCCGGATATCCTAAACCAGCACGCTCTAACTAAGGCCACTATACATGCCTCCAGGAGTATTTCCATCATCGCACAAATGCAGCTCAATTTTCTTGACCTGCATGTGATATGAAGTCTGGTCCAAATCAAATCTTGCAAAATTGGTGTTGGTTTTTGCATGATGATTTGGTGAGCTTGTGATCAATTCGTTCGGTTTAGAGGGGGTAGGGATATCCTGAAATCGTAAATTTTTTAATCTAGGGAAGTTACGGGTGGTGGCTTTTCGGCCGCATTCACGATTTTCATCATATGGCTGTAAAAGGCTATGGCTGAGCGAATCTAAACAATTCATTTCGGTTTTTGCAGTATAATCTGACCTGTGGCAAAGTGGCAACCCAAAGAATATCTTCTAAGATCATCATAATTCGAGCGTGGATCACCGCCCCATCTAAAAGTTTGAATTTGGATGGCTTTGAGCGGGAGCCCCACTTGTGGAATCCTTTTTTAGGGTGATTCGAATTTTCCCGTCGCTAGTTATTAACCGGAGTGGCGCATTGATATTTCTGCGTTGTGTTTCTTCGGCTGTTCGAGCTGATGCTTCGATGCGAAGGAGTTGCCATGAAACCTTAAAAAATAATTAAGTACAAAAACGCAATGTTCATTAACTAACCTGCTTATATACAAGAGTCCGATTTGTATTGTGACAACTGATCCTGGTCTTCTTCAAATCTTTGGCAATTGCCCAGCCGGGAGTTCGTGATTCGACAGAAAGACGGGATAGCTGAAAGTTCTCGATCTATGCGCCCTAGCTTGCTTTTCCCACCATAAAAGACCCGCCGAAGGCACCCGAGTCGAAATTGATTTCCAATGTATTTACATAGATGCTCATTCCTTCAACAATTTTCTCGGCAAACCCGTACGATCCGGAGTCGGCGTAAATGCTGTAAAAGTTTGTAATAAAGGACTAAGAATTAATTTAATCTACCTGTCTGGCTTTTTTGGGTTTTGTTGTGGTTTTGGTGAACGGTCAGCATCCAATCGAATTGATACCGTAACTTCATCAAGGAACTAAACAATTTTTTAGTTTGGCTTGATTTTCTCTACCAATTCAATCGGATTTGTCTTGAGCTTTGTCCATGGTACTCGAACAGCCACCCGATTGCAGTGCGCCTTCGTAATTTTCATCCATGTAGGCAACTCGAGGACCTCCGTGAGAACTTCCTAAATGATTCATTTGCTCGTTCACACCCTAGTCCCTTTTCGAGTTTACCTCATTTAGCTCGATGTTCCTCAACTCGGACTTTCCCCTCAATACATCGAGACTAATCTGTTCCGGCTTTAGATTTCGCGCAAATCTAGAATCATTGGAATTAATAGATGGTCCCGGACTTACTTTGATAAATGCTTGACCAGTTGATTTTTGATGATACTTGCCATTCAAACCCTCTCGTGGTGTTTCAGGGTTTAATCGCTAAAATCGTAAAATGTAAGTAGCAAACCAAAAAGTTTTTCGCTTATGACGCATTGAAAACATTGATCGTTTAAGACATTTATTGAAATTTAGCCAATTGTAACGAAACATGCATTGAATTGCTATGGGAAAAACAGTCAAGCTCGAGGCAGGTGGGCAATCGGAACCCAAGGGAAATTTAGATAAGATTTCCCGATGTTTCAAATAAATAACCAGTCGTAATCGATTGCGATCTGACCAGCGACTGCCCGGTTATTATCGCTATCCGATGACCTAACAATAAATATCCATCCAAATGGGTTCAAGAGAAAAGTCAATGTTATTTTTAACAAAACACGGGAAACGAGACTTATTGCCTCGTAGTTCGTAGCCCGGATGCAAAAGGGGGGAAGGCCAAGAAGAGGTGGTGGGGGAAAAGAGGAAAAAAGATAGCGCACAGCTGGCAACCCCATGCTAACGGTGGCCCAGGTGATCATTGCATATTGATGCACGAAGGTGAGGCCACATTGTATTGGGGGGCATTGTATTGATCGGATCTTGGAATGCCGAGCCATTCCTCTCCGGATTGCTCGTCTTTTCTTTTCCATACCCACGGCTCCACACTTTCCCTCTTCATCTGCGTGCCATTGGAAACCGGCTGTCGATCCCGGTAGAAATTTTTGCAGGCCATGAAAAGAGACGCTTGTGTAATCAAAGGGGAAAATCTTTTAGTAGAGAGAAGCAATTTTCACCTGCTTGTTGTGGGCTCCAGAATTGATTGCGCCTAGAATTAATTAAAAATAGTAATGCGGTTGTGTACTTATTGGACAAAAATCGGTCGTTCACCTAGATTATTATTAACCCAGAAGTTTTTCCAGATGCTACTTCCGCTTTACATATGCTGATGTTAATATCCTTTCTTTCCAATCTCAATAAATATTTTCTATCAAAAAAACCTTGATGCTGATTAAGGTTCAAGAATTTTTTTCAGTATGGACGACCATCGTAGTAGAACCATTGACGATATCCTACTCGACCAAGCAGAAAATGCTTGACAATTCTGGAATGGGGATCTCCTGTGAAATTCATTATTTCCAAGGGCGATCCCAACCTCATGGCGATCCCCTGGATGTAGCATTTAACGTAAAGTAAGTCTACAAACAATATAAAAATACTATATAAGTAATTTGAAACCAAATACGCCCGAATCCAGCAATTATTATTAGCATTCCCATGGGACCCATTAGTCACCCACTCACCACATTTTTTTCCAGATGGAAACCACGAGCGGCCGGCTCATTGAGATGTTATGGCCTGTTTTCGGGCTTTAATGGGTCGGCCAGACACGCTATAACTGCCGCTAATTCGATGTTCTACCAGTTAGCGTTAAACAATGAGTCTTCAATTAGTGCTGATGATGATGATGAAACGGTGAATAGATGACTAATTTTCGTATAAATATTGGTTTTAGATATTTAGTTACCTGGAAGATGCGTTTGATGCAGCAAAACGAGACGTTAATCATGATATAAAAAATAAACAAAGTCAGAAGAAGATTTTGGAGATAAGTCAGGAAGGGCAACAATCGGAATATAAGGAAAAGATCGACGAATTGGACATCGATGTAAAATACAGGTTTAAAAATATATCCGTTTTTTGTAGATAAAAGCAGGAACAACAGTATTAACCGCTTTAATAATAGAACGTCGATTATATGTGTTAAACTGTGGAAATTCGAGGTAAGAGTAGCGCAAAACAGAGATTTCTTTTCCAGATTGCTATTAGTCACCTCTGAAAACAACAAGCCATGTTGTGATGCTCTTATCGATGTGCACGATTTCAAAAATAAGATGGATGCCACTCGAGTAACAAACGCTGGGCTAGAAATTACACATGTATGTTTCTTTGTCTACAAACTTATCTAAAAATTCTTTTAGGAAATGCACAACATGTCTAGCCGCGGCATCGGCGTCCCACAACATCAGAAAGATTTTGCGGAGCCGGGCAACGGCTATTTGACGCAAGAACCTGATGTGTTTCAATATAAAGTAAGCTTTACAATAATAATCTAAAAATCCCCCGTTTAGATTGAACCAAACTGGCAATACCTAATTTTATTATCAACTGGTGTTCTAAAGTGCGTGAAAGAATGTAATGCAAAGACTGGAAGAGCGCGAAATTTCTTCGAGCGTGAAGTAAACAAGTAAAAAAAATCGGCTTGTGATACTTACAAATTACCTAATTACAGTCAAATAATGGAATATGTTCTTCACGAAACGAAAAACTCGTTTTCCCACTCCTATACTTCTAAGGCTCAAGCAACCGTCGATTTGATAGGGCGGATACATTTTGAATCATTTAACAGGGTAAGTCTCACTATTAAATTTGATGCATTTTTTAGGGCGAGCTAAGAACCCGGGTACGCGATGGAATGTCTTTAATATTGGTGGATCTAACGAATCCCACAGCTACAGAATATCCCGTATCACAACTAGAAACACAGCTATCCCTCCAGGTGAGTAGTTTCTTTAGGCATTTAATTAGCTTAGGAAATACAAAGTGAAATATTACCATATGCTGACATGAATGATTTTGAATCACGGGTAACAGAAGGTTCAATCCAAGAACTACTTGATCTAAACCTTTTTGAACGTTCCGATTTGTTGCCATGAGTTTCTTAAAGGGATACCCAATGTTTTTGTGGCAAATATATAGTTATGTATTCCGGAGAGTACAAATGACGCGCGAATTTTGTGCGGGAATGGATGCCCAGTGCCGCACAGAATTCGGACCCCTTTCCCTCTTGTGCCGTCCCCATCCCAAGAAATGGCTTGCCACTATGGCCTAATGGATAGCATCCAGGTCTTCGAAGAGAGGGTCCGGGGTTCGACCCCCGCCCACGTCATGTTTTTTGCTTTTTGAGCCTCGGAAAGATTGGGTATCCCATTAAGCGGTTTATGTTGTTGTATCTCTGTCTATTAGCTTGCACGAGTTGAACTCATCCAGGTCCTTGCATTTTCACGCCCTAGTCCTCACCCGAATACCCTTCCTCGCTCAGTTGCTCTGTGATATATCTCATGTATACAATTCTATAAAGATTCACATTTATTCAAAAATGAGAATAGTTGGATGCACCGATTAGTGTGAACATTCCGCATTCCCAAACAATATTATAGAATTCAACATTAGCTTTGGTGCCGCATTCGCCTTAGGAAACGATAGTATTCTCCCTTATTATCATGGTAGTTTTGGTATAGTTCGTCCTCGGAATCCGTGATGATCTAAAGTGGGCAATCGTATTTACATGCATTGGGTGCTGAAAATGAGGAAACAATCAGAAAATGAAAGGTTGTGCTCTAGTAGCGTGCAACAAAAATCAGGAACTATCAGGCTCTTTACCACTTCGCTGGGATACCCTGTTGGTATCAAGCTAAAGTTGAGAAATTCAGAAAGTTTAAGTTTATTTTAATATTACTTACCGGATTATATGTTGGAGCACTCATCTGTGAGGTCCTTCTCGATTTTCGACTAGGTGCGGATGGGAGGTGGAATGAATTGCCGTCCATCTAAAAAGACCTTGATGAAAGGATGCGTAATAATAAACCTGATCAAAATCTATACTCAAATCGATTAGTGGTGGGTCATGATCGACAAAGTCGGCAAAATGCCACGGGAAAATTGGGATCGAAGGTGGCATATGGCCGGCCAATGCTTGATCCAGCGTTCTGTCCCAGTTTATTTGGCCTGGAATTAGAATAAATAGTAATTTATAAATGGTACAAACCTATCAAGTGGTCGCTCATACCAACTCTTCGGCAAACAGTTTGGATTAGACTTCCCATAGATAACCTACGACCACCCAGCCAAACAGTAATCTAAAAAATATATACAGGGTGTTCCAAAAAAAAAACGAACCATCTGGCATTTCGCCGTGTTAAATCCAATCGGTCCCAAATTTGGACCAGGGGTGTATCGGACCCTAAATAACAACAATCCTGACTTACAGCCTTGTTGCTATCGTAGTTCTCGAGTTATAGCAAAAACAAACTTTATTTTCCGTTTTTCATGGTGTTTCCGTGGGATTATACCCCCCAAATGTTAAGCGAAAATGATTCGGCAGACCTTCTTTATATTAAGACATTTTTTCCGGACTAAAATTGATTAAAAACCGGGTCGATTTAAGCGATTTTTACAACGCCAAGTTACCCCAGGTCTTAAAGGGCTGCCGACGGCATGTGTCGATCCCCCCTCATCAACAAATTGGCAAGTAGCCAACAGGGGAGAGAGCGCGCCCAGGGGAGGAGAGGCGCAGAGACATTTTCTTTCCAGCGCGTAACCGATTGTCTATGCCGTCGGCATCCCTTTAAGCGAAATTAGGGATTCGCGGCCGGAAGTCGATGCAACTCGATGCAAAGTCCAAAAAGATAGCCGAAAAACTGCTTAAAATTCCGTGAAAAACAGTATTTTCGTTATAACTCGAGAACGACTGTAGCTACTGGGCTATAAGTCAGGATTGTTGTTATTTAAGGTCCGATAGACTTCTGCTCCAGATTTAGGGCCGATTGGATGTAACACGGCGAAATGCCAGATGGTTCCTTTTTTGCGACACCCGGTAGTATACACAGTATAAAAAATACAGAGGACCCCAGTAAAAAAATATTTAAGCGTAGCCTAATTAATAATCCGTATATTAATAAATAGTAACTCGAAAACTACCGTGGCTAGTCCGCTGGCAGTTTCTACAAAATCTGAAATTCATTGCTCTTCGTTACTCACCCCTTTCACATTCTTCACTTTCCTTCCAGCATAATGAACTAATCGAAAGACATCAGCCAATTGCTCCACCAATGCTGTCGTCAACCACAACCCAATTGTCAAGTAGACGAGCGTCGGCAGCAAAAAGTCCAACCGTTTCGGAACAATATCGCCCAGCCCAATCGTTGTTAGACTCCTGAACCAAACTAAATCCGTTTCCTAGCTTGCTTTGACCATAGCATACATATAAGAAAAGTAGACGCTGTCGAAGTAGGAGAGATCATTCTCCCAAAGCGGCAATATCGCCGAACCGGCTGCGATGAATATCAGGAATATCATTGCCACCAAGAACACCTAATAACGTTGTTTCGAGAATTTTAGTGCCAATTACCTCTCCAATTTCCCGTAACATCTTCATCTCGCCTTGCTTTTTCAATTCCTTTTTATAAAGTGCCTGAAAGTTATTTCACTGAATAAAATATAGATATGTACCTGTACTATAGTCATAATACCCGTCTTAGAGAAAGAACCAAGATCCGCAATTGTAATGAGGAAAAGTGGAATCCCGATGGCACCAAAAACCATCGTGAAGATTTTACCGCTTTTTGTTTTAGGCACAACATCCCCGTAACCTAAATTGGGCATTAGAATGTTTCTAATATTAATAGAACCCACCAATAGTAGTCAAAATTGTAAAAGAAAATAATACACTAGATTGATATGTCCATCGTTTCGGGACTTCCTGAAAGTCGACTGTATTTCTCAAAAGTTGTAAATTCTTACCCTACTGGGATCTTCTGACGTTAAATAATGATCGAATGGAATGTGATTTCGTGACATGTTGCTCAAGAGAGTAGTAAAGGCGTGCGTCCGAATGGCTTTTTCCTAAAGTTTGACTCAAAAATACTCGTTCTCCCCATCAGTTGCCGCTGACAGCTCCCCTCACTGGTGGCACTTTCATATCGTTGAGCTGAAAGGAGAAGTTAAATAGATCCGCTTGGTGGATGCGTACTGGAGACCCACGGTGAGGGAATTCTTCAGGGTTCTTGCCCACATGACGATGGTTACCGGGGCTTCTAGGTTGGGCTCCAGAATTTTTAGTACCATATCCTCCTATGGGTTCCGGTGCGAGTCCTCGACCTCCCTGGAACCAAAGGTGGACGATCCATCAAGATGTCAGATAGAACGCCTGGTGAAGACGGGTTGCGGTGCCCAAAAGGTAAATGATCGAAAGTTGTGATGTTTTGTAATTGTGGGAATTGGAGTTTTGGTTGGAGCATAAACGTTGAGATATTACGAAACTGATAGAAAAAGAGAGCTGCCCTTAAAGATGAGAACGTTCGCTGTCATAAAGCCTCATAGTTTATGAGAAATTTGATCTTCCGATTATTATTCTAGGTTTTGATTATTATTATCTTATTATTTTATTATCCAAATTCGCACATTATTTAAACTTCTAATTTATACAAAAAATCACGCATTATTGTGAAATAAACTTATTATTAATATTTTTGGGAAAAGCCAAAAAGGCGGTACTGCCTAACATTTAACGAATTAATTATACCTTACCAATATATAATGCAACATGCCACATAGCAATCTGTGCCACTGGTCGCACTCGAGTAGGTGACCCTCAAAACAATAATTATTCCCAATACTCTATTTTTTTTTGGGCTACCAGACCCCCCCAAAAAAGTCCAGCCTTCGAAACATCGTAGCCCAAGCGGCGCCGAAAATAAATCACCATTATTATTCTCTGGAGTATCCTTTTGCTTTGATGACGCCGAGCTGGAAAAGCGCCGCTTCCGGCGCATCGACGAGAACATTTCGAAGCCCTAGGAAATGGAGTAAAGTTGGAAGAGCAATTCTGGCACGTGTTTTGTTATCCTGTGAGCTGGTAAATTATGGATAACTGGTAAGAATGGCTCTAGGTGGTGTTTTTCGAAGACATAGCTTTTCCTTGGGGGTGGTAATAATAAGGAATGCCGGGTTGTTGAATTAGGTAAAAGAATTCGCCGTATATTCGATCAGAAACAGCGGTGACTAAAATCTAGTTAGGTCTACAAATAGGAATTTCTGGTTTCCGCCAATGGTTTTGTAGTAAAAATAAGTGATTCTTAAGTATGCGAAGTACATAAGCTCTCAGTACGGGTTTTTATGGCCAAAAATCCCGTTGCTGCGTGACAAACAAGCAATAATAATTCGAAGGTAAGAACCACCAAAATTGCCAAAACACCCAAAATCGCCCGCCGTGGAGCTAAAAGGTTGCCAACCCTTCCCCTCCCCCCCAACCCCAAACATTCCGGAAGTTGGAAATCGTGGATTTTTCGCAACCCAAGGTGAAATATACGAGTGGCCAACAGGAGTTATACTGAGCCATTTCCTGTGCCCCTTCTTTCCACCTCCCCCCAAAACCCGGAGACACCACCGCCAGCTTCGACACCGACGATTTTTCGAGTGACTGGGCAGAGCCGACCGAATGCATGATTTATGCCTGAAAAAGAGGCCCTGTGGCCTTCCACCACACTTTGAATGCAATTCCACGGCTGCTGGACATTTGGTCCCGAATTTGGGGGGTTCTATGCTGTTCGGTCGACTCATCGCGGCGAATGCGACTTGTCAGGGAGAGGTGTCATAGAGAATGGAAAAACAAAGCATAAATGTTTGATATTGCGGTTGGTCTACGAAAAAGTTAGGAAAGGTATGTGAAATCTGCTGGGAATTCTCGCTTTCACTCAAGAGTGTAGTTCTAAATTCTTCCCGACTCAAAGTACAATTACGGGGTCGCCCTGTTTTTGGGACTTGCAGAAATTTTCTTTGATATGATTGCAATGAAAACTAGAAAACTAGAAAACTAGAAAACGTGTAATTTTACCGGCATGAGCGGAAAACCGGAATAGGGCTGCTACCGGGAAACTAATATTAACCCAAGAAAAAAATGCATTACCTTCGCTGGTCTTAAGGAACTTTTCCCGAATTCGAGCTTAACGTATTTACGTGTTTATTATCAGGGACCGCCGTTTCCGACTCCACAAGCCAAAATTCACATAACTAGCTCATGCCATTAATAACTGAAAACCCCCCTCCCCCCTATGTGTACCATCACTCCCCTATCCCCCCAACTCCCATCTCAAACCAAAATAGCAAAAATGTTTCAGTGGATAAACCCGGCGTGCCCAGGAAAAGGGCCGGGATCCAAAATGACATTGTTCCTCTGAAAAACGCATTGGCTCTCCTCCAGCATCCCCAGGGGAGCCTCATCGGGCCGGAGGGCGTCAAGGGCTTCTAGGAATGGTGTCGATTTATTTCAAAAATCTCTACTTCCAACATCGGTAACCGGGCCCACCCCCGATTCCCAGACATTAGGAGTTCAAATTCAGATTTCCACAAACTCCAAATACTCACCTCCATCTCGACGTGAAGCTGTTGCTGCTCGTAAGGGGTAGGGATAGAATGGAGACACCTCTCAATCAACGTAAAAGCCGCCGGGCAGGAGGGTCTCCTGGGCGGGCTTGATTAGGACCTCCCAAATCAATTGTCCTTCCTTCTTTTTGCTAAGGATGGGATCCATTTTAGGATGCAGCCCCTTCCCCCCATCCCTCATTGGGGGATCCCCCATCTCAAATAGATAAAAAGCTAAAAAGAAGCAAAACCTAAAATGTCTGGGTGTAACTGTTGGCCCTCTGGGACTGGAGGGGAAATTAGAACGCCACACATTTCAGGTGGCTATAACGAGGCAACGGATGGGACGTTTTTCGACGACTTCAATTTGTTTCCCCTTATCCACCCGAACCGTTTGGCTGGATGATATTCGATAGCCCGGAGGGGGCTAAATCTACCGTTTCCCGGGCGGCGGATTAGCCCGTCGGGAATGTCGACGCGCAAAACAACGTTTTTCGCTTGCGGGATTTTGAGGGTCTCCCCCCTGTTCCGTTTTCCGTGCCGGAACGCGAAGAAAGCAGATTGAGTTCTGGAGAGCTGCTTCAGTTTTTCGACACAAAACAAAGGACCTTCGGGGGGGCTGTCAGTATGTATGTTGTGGGCATTTTGCTGAGGTAAGAGTGCAGTTTACCCCAGCCCAGCTCCTCAGCCATACGTCCTATTAATGCGCCGAGTATCTCAAAATGTTCGCCGTGGTCGAAAATCTCTGAAAAAGTTGTTTACTTGCGCCAAAAGTTGTTAAAAAAATTTTTATAACAATTATAAGTCTGGGTTTTCTTTAGTTAATTTTTGCTGTTCCAAAGTGATTTTTCGTATCTCGGCTATCTTTTGACATTACGAGGCTGTCAATGGTACCAAAATGTAGCTCTTGCTCTGTAGAATAAGCTTACGGTACGTTTGAGTCGAAAAAATAGCGGAAAATAAAAATATTTGAGTTTTTGACTTCTGCTACATCGAAGCATAGCGGCTTAATCTTTTCAACTTTCAAAATCTTGTAAAAAATTTTCTAACAATTTTTGCCGTAAGGAAACAACTTTTTTCGAGGTTTTCGGCCACGGCGGACATTTTGAGACACTCGGCGCATTAATAGGACAGATGGCTGAGGAGCTGGGCTGGGGGGGGGTAAACTGCATAAGCCTTGCAGAATGTGTGCAGGTCGTCGAGCAATTTTTTAGGTTCCGTTTACGATTTTCTTAGTAGCTTTTTCATCGTGTGAAAGTGACATTTTTCAATTTTTGAACTAATAGATTTTTATACCCAAAATAAGACCCATCTTTTTTTCTGGCTAATTCCGTCTGAAAAGTTTAATGGCCTCCTTCCCCCCCTTTGTTGTCGCCATAGGGCCCTTTATTGTGAGTGATGCTGCGTCATTTGTCTCCACCGTCCGCCCATCCCTATTGGTTGAAATTTTTTTCCCTCAAAAAGATCACCGCCGGCACTTAATCAGAGAAACAATTAACAATAGTTTTTCGAATTGTGCTCCTGCTCCTCGAGCACTTTGGCAGGTTTCCGCCTGGAGGGAGACAGCTGTCAAAAAGAGCATAAGTCATTACACTATTAGCTGACAAGGCCTCCCCGACAGTGTGGTCAAAAACGTTGGAATTCTTTCCATGCGACTGCAAACTCTGAGTTTTTAAACCTATAGGATTTGTGATTCACAACTACCTTTTTTACGCTTTTCTGTCCAATTTCTCTCAATTTCCTCTAAATAGTTTCCATATTACTCCGGAAATCAGGGCTTTTAAGAGGAGGGGTGGAGACCCATCACGTTCCGTGCGCAATCTTGCACTGGAGAGAAGGGATTAGGAGCGCGGGAATTTATGAATCTTCAAAGTGAAGCCCCAGTCCCAGCACACCACTTGCAAAACAATTTTCAACTTTATTTAAAAATTGTATAAAAAATTAGAGCAAAACCGCCAGTTTCCGGTTTGTGTATATGGCCTCAAAGTTCAACAACAAAAAAAAACACCTTCTTTTGGGGCTTCACTGAGGCGAGGGGCGATGCTGAAGGGCTTTCTTAAATTTCCTCGCTTGGGCCGGCTCGCCAAAGAGACGACAGAGCGGGAAGTTTTTGCAAAAACCCAGGTATCGCCGCCTGCTAATGAATATTTTAAGGCAGGCGGAAAAGCACAAAAAATCGTTCCACCCAACGCCGCTTTGCCCCCACTTCCCATTTGGGAGCCCATTTTACACATTGGATATACCTGGCGACGTCGTCGGCGGCCGGCCGGCCGGCCCTGGGTCATTTCTAATTTCCATCGTGTCATAAATTTTTATGTGAGATTGACACGCGTAAGGACATATTTATGTATAGCATTACCCCAGCCCGGGGGGGGGGGCGGAGGCACATGTTCGTATTTGGTCTTCATTTCCCTAATATATTCTCACCCTCTTGTCAAAGGTTCATCGCAGAGCGCAGCACACTTTTTTTATTGAAAAGAGCTTTTGGATGAATGCGCTAGTAGCGTGGGGCTGCTAATGATGCTACGTTTCCTAACGCTGCGATTAGCTTGTCCCCCTGCCGTTAGTGCCAATCTTTTTTTTGTGTGTGGCTATGTATGTGGGGTCGCAAAAAAGCTGTCCGTAAAATGTAATTTATCCGCAGCTGGCCCCGAATCGCCGTTACCCATCCTCAAACGGCGCCCTAATAGCATTTGGCTTGCTTTTTGAAGTGGGTGTGTCCCCTTGAATTCCATCACGTTTCTCTTGGAACTCTGGCTGCCAAGATGTGATTTTCAACATTTTCTACCTTCAGGATCTTTCTTGCAAATCGTACCCCAAACGTTCATTTAGGGGGGTTTTTGCGAGCGACGTATGTTGCTCCTTCTTTTCCTGAGCCTTGCTGGCCCTACCCTTGCCAGCGTTAATTTATTTATCCCCGAAGAGGAAGTGCTGAGGACGCAAGGTGAGAAAACACGTAGGCTGTCTGAAAATATCGCCATTTAGGCGTCAGTCGTCAGGTTTCGTACATACAGAATGGTGTTGTGAACGAAACAGCGATAGAGAGAACGTTTAAAGTTGATGGTAATGTGACTGTTCTAAATTTCGGGTGGAATGCAGATAGCAAGGTTAGTAACATAAGTTTTTTTGACGTGTTTTAGGTTACCTATAAAGCCAAAATAGCATCGGAAGATATGGCTGTACTTCCAGTATTACGATTACCGGAAAACGGCGAGGTGCCGACTAACTTGGAAAGTGAGTTATGATAATTGAATCGGCGCAATAGTGGAATTTGTTAAAATAGTTCTATACCGACGATATATTTTGATATTTTCAGCATTTTCGGTCGATTATCGTTGCGTTGGAATGAAATCGGGTCAATTCGAAGTTAGCCTTTTCCTCAGTTTTATCCCCGAAAAAGGGAAAAATTACAACGTACGCATCATAACCGAAAAATTATGTGGAGCACGAGACGGGCGCCGATTCATTGGAGGTAAATAGCCGGGTTGTTTTAGAACGCTAATTTTAGGTGATGACGCCGAGAATTCAAAGCAAAGCGAGAAAGGTTTGTATGCGTTTGACAAAAAGAAGTGCTTTAGATGAAAATAGAATGGAACTCCTAATTTACATTATTATTGGCTGCGGCATCGCGTTCTTGCTAGTAATCTTCGTCATTCTTTTGCTGTACTTCCGAGCTTCTAAAAACGGGAATACCACGGGGCCGCCAATGAAGAGCAAATTGCCGTAAGGGACAGTCTATCAAAAACAAAACGCGAATCTAGAAACGCCTTTCATTCTCTAAAAGCCAAGCAAACACAGCCATTTCTGAGCGCGAGCCCAAGCCGCTGGAGTGAGTTGACAATGCCTATGAACAACCCTAATTGTTTTAGAAAGCTCTGCGACTAATAAATTGAGAGCTTCTATGTCGTTGAAGCCAAGTACTTCGAAGGCTGGAACAACACTGCCAGCGGTGGATGTAAAAACAGCCCTTGTGGCACTCCACGCTGATCGAGATCTATTCACTATTTTGACTTTTAATGAGCTGCAAGGTAGGAAAATTGCTGATTCTCCTCAAATTCATCCTTAGGAAAATTTGCCGAAATGAAATGGGCTATTTGGCGACAAACTGCTAGTGGGTTTTCTGGTGATGTGGATGAAGATGAGGTAATTGAGATTAGAAAGCCGTACCAATCGTCAAAAGCTATGTTTTATGCGCTTTTCTAGGACGACGGTACCGGAGATGAGGCAATGTTGGTAAAAATGCTAAAACCTACAGCCGGACATCAAGAACTGGAGAAATTCTTGTCGGATTCACTCGTTTTCCATCATGTCCCGGCGCATACGAACCTAGCAAAGGCAAGTTCCTCCAAAAAAAAAAAGAACAATTGACGATTTAGCTCATATGAGCAAATATTCTTATAATTTCTTCTAGCTTTTCTTACTAACCTCTAAGTATTATTATCTTTCTTATTCAGGTGGCCGCCGTAGCCTCTTTTGGCAGATTTGACTGTCCAGAAACCGTAACAGACTTACCAATGGTTTGCTATCGGCATCAAGGTTTTGGGAACCTCAAGCAGTTTTTGTTGACTTGCAATGCCGAAGGCGTGGGAAACAAGAATAAAAGTAGGTTCATGCTTGCGCTGTCAAAAGCTGATTTTCAGATGGCCAAACCCTCAAAACTAAAGAACTGCTTGGGATGGGGATACATATCGCAAGAGCCTTAAAGCATTTGCATAGCTTTGGTATAAAACACACCGATGTCGCAATACGGAATTGCATTGTGGCCGAGGTAAACATCGATCAACTACTACTAAATTTTATTAGCAACGAAACCCACAATCCAATGATCGGCTTCATGTGCAGCTGATTGACAATTCGTTGACGAAGGTGCGCCAAGTTACAGCTAGTAAAAACCGCCTTGAAGGACATTTTTCGTGATGATTATACGCAATTTCCTGATGGTGAATTATATCCAACGCATTGGATGTCTCCGGAGGCGTTGAAAACAAATAACTACGATCAACCTAACGACATCGTACGTTTCAAAGACAGCTTGATAAAACCTGACCTAAAACTATTAAACTTCAACGCGCTCGTTTAATTTAGTGGGCACTCGGCGTTGCCATCTGGGAAATTCTATCTTGTGGAGCTGCTCCATTCCCAGATATCCATGCGAATAATATGCTAAGCGAACTGCTTAATGGAAGGCGATTACAACGACCACACAACTGCCCTGAATCACTGTATGTTTTTCGAAGGGATAACAACCGCTTTCAGTTACGACCTACTTTCCACCTCATGGATGGATTCTATTCACCGACCATCCGCGGCCACATTAACTCAACGTCTCGAAGAATATTCAAATGAGATGCGACAATGATACCGGTACACGATCAAATAAACAATTCTTTTATCTCTAAAGCACAGGTTATACAAAACACAAGTCTAAAGTGAAACACAAGTCAAAACACAAGTGGGTACCGAGAAAAATACACAGTAGAAACACAGACTACCCGAATTTATGAGAGTTCAGAGTCAGGTGAATTTAATAAAGCACATGATTGATAGCGGAAAAATGGCTAAGAATTCAGTAAAGAACGGTTCGTTTTCTATTGACGAGTATTATTTTCCAAATGAAAATTTGATCGGAGGCCGGGAGCCAGCAGTGTTCAGGATCGCTTTTTGTTCTACTTTTTTGAGGTTGTTCTTCTGTTCTAGCAGATCACGCCTTTCCCTCTCCAGCTGACTCCGTTCCGCGAGCATCGCCAGGCGTTCCTCAGTCTGAAAATAGAATACATAGTAAGAACGAGTAACAAAAAAGCTAGCAAAAGTTTCGGAATGCTTAGGGAGATCAAGATCAATTGACCGCTTGAACTGGCTTTTGCACCATTGGTTGACCCAGGTCAATAGGTCAAATCCATCTGATCACCCTACATTCCATCGAAACCCTGCTATTTGTTCATTTTATAAATTAAACGATGACGTTAGGCGCCAGCAAACCTGGATCCAATATTTCTTCAAGTCAGGCATCCCACTTCGAATCGACGGTTCTCCGACGAGAGCTACAAGGTTCTGTAGGCCCCGGAAGATACCATAGGCAATCATTCCGGGATACGGATTTTTGAATATCGAATTTGCAGAGATGCTCTCCTGCCACGTACATATTGTCTTTCTTTTTCATCAGCGGCACGGATTTTCTCTTTGAGGCTGTTTTCGAGCTGGGCGCATTTGTTCCTCTGCTCTTCCTGAGATAAATTAATAATTGTAAAATACAATCAATGCACCAACCCCTTCTTTCTGTATGCGCCTCATTTCATCCTTCATCTCCATCTCTATCTGCATTCTGAGCAGCTTCTCTAGTTCGATTTTCTGTTGGACGAATCGCTCATTCAGCGTCTTCTCAACGGCCTCGACCCTCAGCGCCACCTAAAAAATTTTGATCGAAACGCTTTTAAAGCATTGCAAAAACAACCTCCAAACAACTAAAAAAATTCACCTCATCGTCAACCCATTTTCGTCCTTCGGGGTTTAGGCTGTTGATGTCGATTCCCACATTACTTACAGTTGGCTCTTGGGCAACGACAGTGATAGGTGATGGCTGTCTATAACAAAGAATCCATAAACAAGTAAAGACTCACTTTTTCTTTAGTAAGCTTCCCAAGCAACCATCTGGGCTTTCAGACCTCCTCTTCGACTTTTTCGACTTGCGAGAGCGCTCCCGGTCGTCGCGATCCCGCTCACGATCCTCCTTCTCACGGTCGCGGTCACGGTCACGCTCGCGATCGCGGTCTCTTTCTCTATCCCGGTCACGGTGTCGATCCTTCCGACGAGCCGGGCTTCGGCTTCTACTTCGACTGCGAGCCATTGCTGCAAAAAATAACATTATTTAATATAGAAATAAAGGAAAGAGGCTAAAACGGTAACGAAAAAGAAACGAAGAATGCAAGAAAAGTAGAATAGACAAGATATAGAAAAAGCCGTGCTTCCGTTCGTGATGGGTTTATTTCCCTTTTTTTATCTATTGGAAGGTGGAAGTTTGTCACGGATCAAGAAATTCGGGAGAGCACCGCGCCCTCGGGAGTGCCGGGCGGTGGGTCCCGCGTGGAAGGTCTGCCGCCAATATCACTGGCATCACTATGCGTCTCTCCCAAGTCTGCGTGTATTTGATAGCCCCATCTGCCCAGAAATTACCTTCAAAATTTGGACGTTTATTGCTTCAATTATATTCATTTAAAAAGGCTGAGATAAAGCTTTTGAATGCAGTAGAATTGTGAAGGGTTTACCTAATCATACAATCGCTATTTCAGCTCTCGCCCGAACTTGATAAGATTCGTTTGAGATGCGGCGACTAATTGCGCTTCTCCTATTGCCCGTAGTTTATGGACAAGTTGTTCAAGATGACCTCGAGATGTCGGCGGAAGATTGCCAAGCAGTATGTCTTCAAAATGTTACTAGTTTAAGAGAGTTTTTCCAGTTTTCTTATGCTTGGGAGGGTAGCCGATTGCCTTCTACTAAAAACTAGAATAAAACGTGAAAACTAAAATGAAGAATGAATCAAACTAAAAAAAAATGCTAAAATGGAACTTATAGGCCGGCTTTTATCCCGATGTTTTGAAGTGTTCTACATGCGAGGAGTTGCTGAAATTTGAACTGGACTTGATCTACACCGATTGCAAGCGGTGTTGTATCAAAGAAAAAGAGGCCGAGCACGAGGTAAGTGTATGATACCTGCTATTCCGTGGCTCGCATAATTCTTTTAAATACGACTAGGTGTGCGCGTATTCATTTTCTATCGTTACTATGAGTTTTTATACCAAGAGCTATCCAAATATTTCGCTTGAATGCATATTTAAATTCCTATATCAAAGTCATTGCTTTGCAGAAATTTCCGATCGCCCACGTGGAAGTGTGCGAATGCAATCTCGCGCGGTTCCCGCAGGTTCAAGGTGGGTACTTGAAGGCGTAAGGTGTACGAGGCGGACGAATACACATTTCCTTGTTTCTTCGGGATGAGTATAATCAGAATTTTACTGTCATTTAGCTAGTCCTGGAAAAAGGTACGGAAAAACATTTGGATGCCTGTTTCAGCCTTCGTCCACAAAGACATGGCCGATCAGTTTGGCGGCAAGGTGAAGGTGAAGCATGTCCGAGGTGTGCGACCCCAGATCAAGCTCAAGGACTATTCCGGTAGGTTATTATGCTTCTGAAATCTCACACCAGCGTAAATATCAATGTTTCATAAACAGCTTGGTAAAACAAATACTGCCTACAGCGTTCGAAACCTTGAATTTTTCGTCATGAGGCGTAGCTCTGGAATTTAAAACTATTTTTTTTACTACGAATCAATTTCAGGCAACACCAAGCAGCTACTGAACATTGAAAAATGGGACACAAACACAATCATCGACTTCTTGACGCAATGGATCGAATAAACGGGTCTAATCGTATTTGTTTGTCATTTTCCTCGGGGAGTTTGTTCGTTTTCGGAAATATACCATTACAATAATTTTATTCAAACAGTCAATTCATGTCCCATTTGTTTCTCCGGGTTCGGGGGTAGATTTGTTGTTCTGATGTTTCTTCCTCTGCTCCAAAGCTTTCATCCCCCAAAAAAAGATTTCCTTGTTCTGTGATGGCGGACGCCTGATGATTACGGTCCTTGTGTTAAATATTTATTGGATGCTATGGTTGAATCGCACGGTTACACTGCAACTTAGAAGATCATGGTGAAAAGTATGTGTATTAAAAGTAGAAGAGACAAGTATTATCAGGCGGTGTTGAATTTTGAGTGAGATGGGTGCCGAAATCGATTTCACTCCCGAGACGGCTTTATTCAATGCTCTTGACTTTCAGGCTTTCCCAGACTTTCAACGTCTTATGATACACAATTTAATTCCTTTGTCGGAACGTCAATTGGTTTTCGGTCCGTAAACTTTCCTTGTCACTACGAATTACACCTGAAATCGTATTATTTTTCTGAAAAATACGCGATCCTGAAACATTACTTTCTCGCCGGGAATCGTATTCCACCGGATAATCGCGGCGGATAAACAACGATCGGAAGCCGGGATAATTCACGCATGAGCACCAGTTGTTTTTCAGTGGTGTCGCCGCATTGCTGTGGCTGACTGGTTCGAGTAAAACCCCCCGATCCTGCCCATCCTCCCCCGAAAGTGTTAGTCTATTAATTGTGGCACATGGCTCTTATGGGAGTGTGAGTGTGTCTCCTCTGGGTCCTCTTTTTGCTTTGGCTTGGCCATTGGAGCCTCTCCCTATCGATTCCGCCCAAAAGCCCAGTCCGTTGGCCCCCCTCCATCCCTGCCGTCCACCGAACAACAAGCTGACCCCCACCGCTCCGTCTTTTCCTCCCCACAAATATTTGTCCCTTTTTCCCGTCTTTCGGCGTCTTCGCCACCCTCTTTTCGCCTCGCTTTTTAAAAAGGGCCATCACAACAAGAATTTTTAACGTCGCCCAGGGCCGCGGGGCGCTATTTCGTAAACGCACGTTGTTTACGACAATTCTGGAAGCCCTTTGTTGGCATGAAGGCGGGAGAGCAATTGAATTTGCGGACTTCGCAGCTGATTATAGCTCGGCATAAAGAGTACTGAAGATTTTTTTTGGGAAAAGGACTTACGAATTGTTTTCATTTGGTGTTTCTTTGGTTTTGCCCTTGAGATATGGAACTCGTTACTTTTCTTCAGCTGCGAGACATTATCAATTCTAAGCTGTTTCTTGAACATCCCCGAGGTTTCTCGGAGAAGAATTTTGAACGCCAAAGCGAGTCCGCCGGTGATGAGTAACGAATTCTGGCGGAGAGATTGCGCCCGTAGCCAGGGCAGATGATGTTGTCCGAAAATCGGAAGCCGATAACACGGGCCACAGCCAGGCAGCGGTGGGAAAAATTGGCTCTCGGCTATTTCCAGTTTTGATCCTACCTTAAAACGAATATAGCCTATATGGATTAGCTAAAAACAATCGCTCTAATTGCTTCTAAAGTCACGATCGTACCCACGATTTTTGCATCACCTATATTTATTTCGTCATTGCATATTCCACTTAAAGCAGGAACTTCGGAATTTTTCATCACTTTTTGTGGTATTCGCTTTTTTCAATTTCAACAACCAGGTCTAATTTTTTTTAGCCAAAAATTGCTCAGGCGGTTAGAATCACGCTTGTTTACGGGGGGACCTCTTGCAAGTTCGTGGTTATCAGCACCTATCAGCTTCTTCGCAATGAAGATGTAAACAAATCCATTTGCTCGGTTATTTCCCCTCGTGCGCTCCTTTTTTGTTTAGGCCTTTCACCTATAAATTAATTGCCGTTATTTAGAGCGAAACCCATCTAAAACAAACTTCTACCGGCAGAATGGCAGAGTTTCCGGATGTTACAGTAAGTTAATTTAAAGGAAAAATTATAGTTTTTCACCTTTAAATCCTGAGTTAGCGATCGGAAAGGATGAGCGGAGGGTTATTGAGGAAAGCCAAAACCTTTCTCCGCAACAATCTTATTGTATCTCTCTAAAGATATGGCTAGCTTCTCAAGACCCAGAAAATTAGATTTGGCAAGACTCGGGGCACCTGGACAAAAAAAATCCGAACGACCCTTTCCCAGGCGGAACCCCGGGATTGAAAAATAGCTGGGAAAGCTGGTCTGTCGAGCAGGGGGGCGCGAGAAGCAAATGAAATGTTTAGTGGCATGTTTATTTGGTGGAAGGGGAGGGCGGTAGGCGGGGAAAGCGCAGGTAAAGAAGCTTATTTAATTTTCGAAAAGGGGGCCCCTTCACGTGGTGGTGGTGGTGGGCCCCATGGGAGGGAGGAGGAGGAGCCTCTCGACAAACACGAACATCGGGAGGTAGCTGAAGCCTTCGCTTCCAACGCTTCTTTCAATAAACATCCTCCCTTGCGCGGCCGCCCAACCCCAACCACCCCACTAACAGCGCTACTTTTTGGTCATACGCTGTTATTTCTTAGAGCTTCCGTAATGCTGCAGCAGGTGTCAACCGAGTCGCTCCCGGTACATTTTATTGTGAGACATTTGCCCTTAATCGAAGTAACCCCCGGACACAAATACTCACCTGGGACTCTCTGATTCTTTCGAAGGCCCAAAGGCTTCTATTTTTCACAGCCAGGTGGCCACAGCGGGCGGTTGATTGGCTATGAAAAACAATAACACTTCAAATTTACATATTAACAGGGGAAAGAGGGAATATGTAATGCAAGGCATCACTTTTTCAGCTTCTCCCCGTCCAAACCAAGAACTGCGGCGTACTGAATGTGTACGTCCAGGGGAACCTTGAGGAACGCAATGGAAAGACTATCATCCTTACCGTCCACGACGTTGGAACGAACCGTAAGCTTTTACAAGCCACCAACAACTAACCAAAAGCATAAAAAAACGTATTTTTATAGACAAATCGTTCATCCGTTTCGTCAACCACCCATCGATGTCCGATGTGAAGGCCAAGGCTATTTTCCTGCACGTCTGCATCCCAGGCCAAGAGGATCATTCGGCCGAATACATTGGAGAGTATGGAATACCGCTTTGTTCAGGAAAATTTTGGCTTTAGCTTCCCGACTCTGGCTCAGATTGGCGAGGACCTGGCGGCCATTCTCGACAAAATCGAGGTCCAATCCTGCATCGCATTCGGCGAGGGCGCGGGTGCCAACATTGTCTCCCGATTTGCGGTATGAGTTTATGAACTATTTGGAAATAGTTGGATCTCATAGATGGAATACCCGAACCGCATTATGGCCATTATTTTGGTCCATTGCACCTCGACTACGGCTGGAATCCTTGAGTATTGCAAGGATAAGGTGATTTAAAAAGAAAAGCATTAACATAAACACATCTAGATTATGAACGTGCGTCTGGAGAGCGGCGTGATGTCGGATGGAGCGTGGGATGTCCTAGCTGCCCACAAATTCGGATCGGTTGGTATATTATATTATTCTTCATTCAGGATAGTCCAATTCTCAAATTTTTTCATCAATCCATTTAGAACGAACGCGACAAACAGGAATACATCGACTCCCTGAAGAGCACCCTGAATGTCAAGAATCTCAGGTAATAATCTTTAAACGTTCCGCCGCAACACTCTCAAAATTCAAGCACTGACAAACACCAAGAATCATCAAGTCCCCAAAAAACAACACCCACTTTTCAGCAAATATTTGCTCGCCTTCTCAAAGCGCACAGACATCTCTTCCCTGCTGGGAACTAAGCTGGACACGTGAGTTACTAGAAAGTGGACCGTACTAATATACGGTAATTCTAGTGTGGATGCGCTGCTCGTTTCGGGTGGAAAGGCCAGCCATTTGCAGTCGGTATACACGACTCATAAGAATATGAATCGCAAGAAGACGACTTTATTGGTTGTTGACAATGTGTGCGATGTGATGAGCGAGGCTGTAAGTAATAATTATCTACATTTAGGAAAATAATTTAGCCTGACAACTTGGCTCGCTCATTGATCCTGCTCTGCAAGGGATGCGGAATGCTCAGCGGTGTTGCTATTCCTGGCATGGAACGTCAGCGGACCCTCAGCAGGTAATTCTTACAAACTTATAAAATCATGGCTTTATTACATAAGTAAATACAAATAAATTAAAATGTATAGCTCGATGGAAGAAGCCGATCGCCCGCGACGCCTCTCCGTCACCAACCCCACCCATCAGCCAATTGCTTCCCCGCAGTAAATCAACATTCGGGATACTGTATTATACGATTCTGTATATTTCATTCCTTACCCCCGTCTATACCTTTTCCGGCTAAAAAATTTGACCCAACCTTTTTAAACCACCTCCAAAACCTCACCCCCCAACATTCCCCCCTCAAGAAGGCTGTGGAAGTGGTCAAATTTTTTGCGGCCATTTATCTTAAAGATTTCGACTGTTCCTCACCACTGGCTATTTAACTGTGTTTTAAGCTTTACGTCCCACAAAAAAAAAACAATAAAAAAATAATGAATGTTCTCGACGGATCATCTGTATACGCTGCAATTTTTTTAAATAAAGTGTCTTGTTTTTGGAAGGCTTTCAGCTTTTATTGCACAATGGATATGGGAGCATCACATTCGAATCTCACGGAAATTCATCACAAATTTAGGCAGTGTAATTATTTGCTTTTTGAATATATACAGAAGGCAATGGGACCATAATTTTTCAATTCCAAATGGCTGCAGCATTTTTCTTCGCGTCTAAATAGCGCTGAATATCTTACATCTTGTTTTATCTACCTTTCATTTCCTTGATGGTTGCCCGTTCTTGAGCTTTTTGTTCAGCCGTAGCTGTGCTTTTAATCCCAAGAGACCCTTCGATCAGTCGTCTAGCAACCGATCCAGTGGTTTTTGGACGCACAGATGGACGTGCCCGTAAATCGTCTCTCAACTGCAACGCTCGCTCCTGAAAATCAAGGTATATTGGTCAAGCCTTTTCCAACACGATTTTTTGTTTACTATCCGTGAAAATGGGCCCCATTCTCTCACCTGCGTCTTTTTGGATGCGGCGGCCAGCGTGCGTAACTTGATATCTGGTTGTTTTTGAAAGATGGAAAAGTCACGGGCCCGTCTTTCATTCTCAAATACGACAAAAGCATTATCGCCGTCAGCTTTCTGGAATAAGAAAAAAAAAATAAGAATCCGAGACTCCGGGAGCATACCTTTACTTCCACTTCATAGCCGGCTTCCAAGAACTTTGATTTATAATCTCGCAGGGATTGGCTAGCCGGAATATCATACAGCTCGAGCACATGCGGTAAATCTGAACCGACAGTTTGGAATCCAAAATTTTGAATTACTCTTTGGATCCCATGAGCTCTGGCTAGTTGAAGGCGTCGTTGTCCTTTTCTGGTTAATTTTCGCACTGGCTTCAAGTTTGAGTTGATCGAGCTGAAAAATGTCTCGAAAATGTCGGGTTTCGGCTACCTGTTGGGTGAGAGCATCATCATCTAGCGTTTCCCAGGTATCTTCTTCTTCCGATTCAGGCTTGGCAGTTGTTGGGTCCATTAAGCTTTTTTATTGAAGCGATCTGGATGCTGTTATTTGGATCCAAATCGGTGTGGAGATCAAAAATGACGGAAATTATACCTTAAGGAAAACTATACACGTTAGCAGATGCGGTATAATAAATACACTAATGATAAATACTGAAAATAACATTAATAGGTTAGCGATCAATAAAAAGGGACGTGCCTAAGTCCCATACGAAAATTTTGTCTGTATGATATCATTATTCAGCCGTGCATTAATGTACCTAACAGTTGTTAAAGTACTACCTTTCGGTTGTCCTCTATTTTTCCACAAGGCTACAAGCCACTCCTATGTACAGAGGTTCTCGAGCCAAAATCAATTATTGCTAGCCATGACAGCGCTGTGTAACTAAATACTATCCGAAAATGACAAGACTATCTCAACACAGGGTATAAAATATATGCAATAAACTGCATGATGGAGCACTCTTTCATAATTATTATTTATTCCCCCAAACCCATATATTGCAGTCAAAATGATAGTGTTCGCGGCGGGATAGTCGACATGTTATACACCGCAGTTATTCAGTTCCTGATGCTGAAATTTCCATAAATAAAGAATATGCGCATAAAATACCTCTCGGTCTCAACGTAGTTCCGTCCAACTAACCTTACGACAAATGCCGTTAGAAGGACACCAAAGATCTAAAAATTATGCTGATTTTTTGAGAGGCTCACAAACCGTGAATCCAATTAACATCCAAATTAATGGATTTTCAGCCATTCGTCGGACTTGTTGATGAACATTAGGCCTCTTTTCATTTAGAGAAATCTTAAAAGGTTCTTTTTAGGCTTAAATTGAATACCTGGGCAGTCAGAGCTTCTGTAAGAGCACCCTCTACCGCTGTAATTCCGCCCCTAGCCGTCCTCACAATCATTATATCGTACGAGGCTTCACATCGGGGTGGCTATACGTAGATTATGTATTTAGATGAAGCTGAAGCATACCGAAACTCCCAAACAACCATCCCCCCTCCTTTGAACACAAACTGACGCTGCATGCAAATTGCATAACGGGTGCTTCTTCGAATGCAAAGGCCTTGAAAAGGTATTAAAATTGGAAGGTGCAACCTACCTTGCTTTCCGCATACGCAAATAGTTTCCCGTCTTCATAGACAGGGTCTGACACGACATTAACATCCGTGGAACATCTAAAGATTTGCATCATCATTTGCATCTATACAATACCCTTTGGCATTGAAGATTGGGTATTTATGGGCGTGATCTGATTTTGCATAGCAATCATGTACATGCATTCCATAATACGAGGAAGTATCTAAATAAGTGAATACTTTTTCATTGACATTCTCGTACCAGCCATTCCTTCGCATGTCCAAGTGTGGTAGATCTTTTCCCCTAGCAATGCCTCGGTGATTCCGGGTCCATGTGGTGCTTCCTTCATTCAAAGTAAATAAATATTCGCAGTTCTTACGTACCTTTCGAATAGCATACGTACAAACCGGTGGTACTGCGGTTAAATGGATTGCCTTGCCGATCGGAATTTCACTAAATATAGTTAGATTAAAATATTTTTACCGACCTGGGATAGACCGAAAGATTGGTGTAGATTTTCTGAGTATTTGACAGTTTCTTTGGCATATAGCACTCCAGGAAATAGGCTCTGAACAAAATTAACGTCACTAAATTTAAACATTACCGATCATTTTCTGTAATAATTGAAAGGTCATGCTGGAGGTTCAGAATAATCGATGAATTTTTGCCGGTCTCCTAAAGCAATTGCAAACCATAAAAATAGCTACCGTATCCATTTGATTTGTACCACAATCATTGGCATCAACCTCAAAAATGATTGGGCGGCTTTCAACAGCGAGAATATCCTAAAAAAGTTTAAGTTTTCGGGAAGATTATTACCCGACGGCATCCGACTTTTTGCGGGAATCCTTTGACAAATGCGGTACCCTCAAAATCCGGCGCCACATGCAGAGTTAACTAAAAAAAATAACATGGGCATAAAAATAATGTAAGTGAAGCTACCCTGAAGCCAGTTGAAGTGCATTCTAGATCAATTTGATCATTAGGGTTTGATCCAGAAGCCTGATGCTCAAAGGTCGAGCTAGCAAGTTTTCTGAAATTTGAGAAGATCCAGCATGCTATACGAATTACCCCAATCCATCATAATTCAGTTCTTCTTGCGTATTTGCTCCTGGTACTCGAATTTCGTTGTTTGACGCTTCTTGAGGATTGCCGGATGCTCCTGAAAAACGTCATTAGTCTGGTTAAACCCAGTTTACCGTAATTATAACCGCTCAAGTTCGGTGGTTCATACACCGGCTTCTTTGTGGTAGCCCAATAGTCTGGGGTTTGCGGCCTTGCCCTAGTCGGGAAAGACGGCTGAAATATGTTGTAAAAACCTTTAACCAACCCCACAAAAAGTGCACTTACAAATGGTTCGCCAGGTGTAGGGGTTAGATTCTGGTGTGCAGCGTCGTCAACCAGGTGTATTTCGGGTGAGGTTACTTCCTTTGTGTTAAATGGAACCGCGGTTGGTTTTGGATGTGTTGGCAAATTCCAGGATATGGTTGCTTGAGTTGTGATTGGGTTACTTGGTTTTTGAGTTTCTTTGTTGATTGATAGTTTTGCATCATTTGAGATTGGATTTTCGGGGGTGGTTGTCGATATTGGGTGCCGTGTTGTAGGAGTTATAGGTAGGAAAACCGGCCTCGTTGGTATGGTAGCAGTGTTTCTTGTAGTAAAATCCGTTTTGTTTGGAGGATTAGTGGTTGGTGTTATAGGCACAAAGAACGGTCTTGTTGTCCGGGTTGTTGCTTTGTCGCTTTCAAAAACAATTTCCATTTCTTCGGAGCTTTCTTCGAATTTGGTGGTGGTTGGCACTCCATGATGCCATCCGGTTACAAACTTTCGTGTTGAGGTTATTTCGTGTGCATTAAAATGAGTGCTGGATACCGTGTGTGCTGCAATTGTTGACCGGCTGGCAGCCGTTGTTTGAGATCGAGAAGGAGATCGGGTGCTGATATCAAAATGAGAAGTGGTTGGCGTCTTGCTTGTTGATGCGGTGGCATGCTGGAAATTTCGCGGATCGAAGGCAGCTCCATTGAGGCCTTCGTCGGATTCTTCGACTTCCTCGAAATCAGGTAGATGATTTGGCCTTCCACTGTGTTCGGCCATGAATGCTTCGTAGTCTTCATCAATTTCTGGTTCGAGAGCGTTTGGCCGATGATCAACAGGCTGTGTGAAATGGGTGCCATGGGTGACAAGTATGGGTTTTTCTGTGGTTGGTGCAGCCGGGACAACCACCTGGAAAAATTGGTTTAAGCAAATTAGGCTGTAGCAGTTTAGGGTTTGCCCCAAGCATCGGTTAAGCTAGCCTTAAAAAATCAAGGCGTTTATTCTTACCTGTCTTGTTGTGAAGTCAGCCGTTCGGCTTGACCAGCGAGTAGTTTGTCGTTGTTGGGTTGTGGACTGCGTACGCCATGCTGCTACACTTTTCATTAAAAGTAGGAAAAGTCTTACTGGTTCTTCTGGTTGTGGTGGTCGTTGGATTTGATCGACTGGTTACGGTACCAGATGTGACATGGGGAGGAGAAGAGCTTCTCGAAGCTGTAGCGGGCTGGTGTGTTTCGGGTCGTTGCGTTGCCTAGAAGCTTTTTTTGGAAGTGTCTTGTGCACGTACTCTTGTTTGCCACCAACCAAGGGTCGATGGCGTTGTCGATGGTCTGACTCTAATCCCAGTAACTGTTTGCCAGGTCTGAGTCTCTGGTTGACGGGCCGGGGTGCGAGTAGTCGAGCTTCTTGACCATGTAGTTTGGCGGGTTGTCTGAAATTGGTTTTGAAAATGATTGTTAGATTACCGTTGTTGGTCTACGAGTGGTGGTAGTGGTTCTGGTAGTGGTTGTCGTAGTCGCCGTTGGATGGACTTTGATACCCTTGACTGTATTCCAGGTAGTTTCTTCTGGTTGGTGAGCTGGAGCTGTAGGCCTTGTTGTTGTGGTTTCACGAATAATCCAGGTTGCCCCCTGCGTGCTCTAAAAAGGAATTGTTTGCAAAAGGCAAAATTTGCAGGCTTATCAAATATTCATGAAGAACAGATACCGTGGTCGGCCGTGCTGTCGTCGTAGACCGAGTAGGTGGTATTCTGCTACCCTTTATTGTTTGCCAGCTAGGTTCTTCTGGCCTTTGAGCCGGAGCTCCTCTGGTGGTAGTACTGGGCTCAGTAGCTCTGGCTCTAGTTGTCGGACGCGCCGTAGTTGTAGTGGAGGCCGTACGAGGTGGCGCCTGTATATTGTCATTAAAAAGTAGTTATTAAATTACTCTGGTGGTAGTTGTCGTTGTTGTTGTCCTCCTTGTGGTTGTGGTCGCCCTGCTAGTGGTCGTCGTAGTTGTTGGGACTCGAGTAGTAGTCGTAGGTCTTGTTGTGGGGGTTGTTCTCGTAGCTGTCGTGCTCGCTCTCGTTGACGCCGGAGGACCCTAAAAAGAAACACCTTGAATAAATCCGATTTTTATCGTTTTCCCATGCCCAAAAATTGCCTATCATCCAGCTATCAGTGAAAGCGGGTTGATATGAAACCGTTGAGGGCATAATTTATAATCATCCTTCCTTCGCACCCACCCTCGGAGTCGTGCCATCCACATTATTTCCAGTTTCTGGACCGGAAATATCACCCCCGGCGGTGGGTTGGTGGTTTCCCTTGTTTGCTATTGGCAGCAAGTTGGTGCCCGGCTAAACATTGATGCACTAAATAGTCTAAAAATTATCTAACTTCGCCCAATTCATTCAGCCCCTCGGCAATGGCCTTGACAAGTTCACTTTCTGGGACGCCGCTGGGGCCGGTTTCATCGATTCCCTCGTTCAGATGCCTAGACAAATTGTATTTTAGGAACGTTTCATACATACTTGCTGATCTCATCAATTAATGCGTCTTCTAATTCCTTTCGCAGTGCTTCATCATTGCTATTAGACAAACGACGAGTATCCACACTAAAAGCTAAGATGTTTTTTTTAGAAAATTACACTTACTTTTGCAAAACCTTGGGCAAAGCCTTGTCGATTTCATCTTCCATAGCTTTTTCTAGACTAAAATCTTCTTCTGGGGGAGTATTCTTAAAGCCATCTTTGTTCAAAAGTGCCGCGTCAACTTGTACAACCGGATCCGGCAATGGGCTTGGTGTTGGGCGCTAAAATTACAGATGTTCACAATTATTTGAAAATCGTACTTGTCTTTTCCTCTTTGGATGTAATGCCAGAATCGTGTCTCGGCGAACATTCTTATGCAAGAAATGACGCAGTGTTGGGCCGTATCTAAAAAAAATAGGTGTTTTTTTGCTATAAGATAGACTTACTTTCTCTGATAATTCTGTACAGCCTCGATCGAGTCACGTTTATTCAGGGCCAAATGGATAAAAATGCTTCGGCGATGTTTCTAAAAGGGATTTGAATACCTTAAATTTTTTACCTGCGTTGGATTGTCTGGCGGAGGGCGTTTCGACCAGGTTCCTCGTGGTTGCACATTCCTAGACAATGTACTTTTTGTGGATTTAAACTGTCTTACACTTGGCCGGTAGGTCCTTGAGGTCGGCCGAATTGCTGAAAGTTGATTTTTAGGTTTTTACAATGCCCTTTAAAATTACTTTACTATTTTGTCCTTGCCAACCAACAGGAGCGGCACTTGGTGGTTGGGCAATTTTCCAAAAATTCTTAAGAAAGTGGAGGTCGGGGTTTAAGCGAACATTTCTACCTTGCTGTCCGAAAAAATGAATTCCGGCTGTGGGGCTGGAGGGTGAAAATGTGGAGATCCTTGATTATTTGTAGGTTGTGGATGCTGGAATTTGCGATTTAGTAAATTCGCGCGTATTTTTCTTACATTTAAATATTGGTTCATCATTTGTGGGCTGTTGAGGTATTGGAAATTTGCCTGGAATAAAGATATAGCTGAAATTTTCAGGGGTAGCGAACCGCATTGGCTTGGATTGGTTGTGGGGGTGGTTGATAGCCTCGAGGCACTTGTCGACTGATTCGTTGCGATGGTTCGGCATAAATGAATTGCACTAGAAGACCCTAAATGCAGAAGTTTACTGTGCCACTAAGAGACTAAGGATTTATTATATTACGCAACGATGTGGGTAAAAAAGCAGCAACCTTTTTTGCCTTTTGATTTGGTTACTGTAGCCGTTAATTTTGCGAATTTAATCAAATTTCAATGTCAAAAATTGAAACAGCTAAACAAAAATTATTAAAGATTTCCCAAAACCTGTAAAGCGTAACCTCCTCACCATGAAAATAAAACCATATTGCACGGCTACACTGTCATAACTACGTCTATTGCGTGACATCTAAAAACTATATTTATCTAGAATGAAAAACCATATGCCGCCCAAAAAAAATATAGGTGAAAGGCCCCCAATAATAAGCGACGGCGGCTGCGGTTTTTCCGAAAGTGATTAAGCTGCCACCCATGTGGAATGACGGTTTTTGCCGCTAGGGTTGGCTGGGGGTCTTCAGGGGGCGAAATGAAAAAAGCCAGTTTTTTTGCTCTTCGCGGTTGCCAATCATGGATTGCAATCCACCCACTGTGTGTGCGTGTGTGTGGAATATCCGCCGGTGGCGATTTGCCATTGCTTGGAGGGTGAAGTGACAAGAGGGTTTGGAGAAAGCACTCTTTGATAGCACCATTCCCCCACCATCATTCTTTTAGTCGATAGCCAATTGCTACGTCATGGGTTGAGAATAATGAAGAAAAGTCATGAAGCGATACCGGTAGTGCTTTTACAAGCCTCCTTCCACAGTAAAAATCGGTTACAAAATCGCATCTTGAATTAAAAATATAAGCAGTTCATTGTGACGGAAATCCCATAGACGAGGCTAAAATCAACCAGTTTAATTACCTATTTCGGCATATCGGTCAATTCAAAAAAGGGAATATTCTTTAAAAGAAACTAAAGGTACAGGTATAAAAAATAGAAGTATAACGATAACAAAATACAGGGTTGTTCAACTTGTTAATGTGTACATGTTTACACCGGAATATAGCAACTTATTAAAGCCAAGAAGAATTGCTAGTTTTTATAGGAAATAATGAAGACAACTGTGAGATCTGATAATTCTTCGATGCAAATTTAATAACCATGACCAGCATTTTCCAAATATACCTACCAACTATATTTTAATTTTTTGAAATAACGGTTTTTGCAATTTTTTCTTCCACCCAACTTCCAATCGCTATATTCCAGATCCCAGATTAGAATGCACCCGAGAAGCATAGTCCACTTATCCTTTCCCTCTTCCTTTTTTCTCTTTATCCATTCCAACCCCACCACCCATTGTGCACCTTTTTGGTGGGCGTGCGCGAGATGTTTGTTGGCGATTCGTCGTCGTCTTCGGGGTGGGCCAAGATGACAGCTGAACGGGAGTGATCCCACCCCTGAACCTCATCAAATCCTCCTTCATCCGTTCTTCCGATCGAAAAGACAACCTCAACGGGACACATTTCCCTACAGAATTCTAGTCTCCGGAATTCTAATGTTTTTCCATGTAATTCTACTGCTATTAGTTCCATCAGCAATAACCGAAGGGATATCAGATGATTTCCAGGCACTATTGAAGAAGCACTTTCCAGAAAATGTATGGGCTACATTCTATGTGTAGCATTTTTTTAGAAAGTACTAGACGATGTGTTAGAAGCTATGAGCAAAAGAGCGAATGAAACACAAGAATTCTTGGCAAATACTGGAAATACTAACGGGTACTGCAGTAATCCTCATGTTTTCAGAACGGTTTTAGAACCCTAAATGGAACCATCTCCGATTTCCCCCATCGAGGCCGTTATACCATGGACGAAATGTCAAATTTCTTTTCTCAACTAATGAATTGTGCATATGGGTGGTGTTCATATCATTGGTACGACCGTCATTTTGTATAAAAAAGCATTCTAGTTGCGACCCACCAATGGCTCGCCCCATTATGAACGAATATTTTGGGCAGCACTACCCCTCAAGGTATCCCGGAAATGCTATCCAAACCAAGCAGCAAAAGTACAGAAAGTTGGGTGCAAAAATCGGCGAGCCAAGTCGAAAATATTTGTACCCAGCTCCAGCAAAGGCTCCAATGAGGTTGGGAAACTTTGGGAGTTGAAAAAGTTTTAGGCACGTAACAAGTCCTGCCGTTACACCAGCATCTACAAAACGACGACCAGCAGTAACCTGTCCAAAAGCTTGCCAGCCGCAATGCTTGACGTCTTGTATGAAGAGATATAACGAGCTGGTTTATGAATTTATGAATAGTTTGACCCAGGTGAGGAATCAAATATGTATATTCAAGCCTAGACCCCACTCATAAAAATCCCAAAGTTGGCAGCTCGATAAAAATGAGTTGCCTTTAGCAATCCATTCAACTTTTCAAGACTGATATCCTTGGCCTCCCAAATCGACCGACCCCAACCTCTACAAGGAGAAGCATTTTTGAATGGGGAAATACGGCTGCTGAGGAAGATAATTGGACCGAACCCGTAGCCCCATTGGTTGGTATCAAGCTTCTGAATGTAACGCTATTTCTCTTTCGCAAGTTACTGTACCCATTCTAGCAATGGGAAGACGAAAGGGAACGTCCGGTTTGCCGGGCCGATTGTATGCCTTTGTGTCGAGAGTCGTGCTTGCTTGTGGAAGGAAGACCAAAATGCAGAGCATGTTAGTGATATTTTCAATAATTTAATCTTAATTTAAATAAAATTTTTAGCATGCATGCCTCATTGTAGCCAACAATGCCTTGATGCCCCTCCATTAATGCTTCCATGCCCGGATTTTGATGAATGCTATTGCCCGGCGGGGTTGGTGTTTTCAAAACTCCAAACGGGGAAGTTCCGGTCAGGTGCTGGAAGCGATTTTTAGCAAAAACAAGGCAATTATGGGGCCTCCCACGCACGAGTCATAGCGATTAGGTTTTTAAGTTGCCAAATCCGCGTAATTTGTCCGATCTTTGGCATCCGAAAGTCATTTTTTAGGTATGTGCAATGCTCGGATTCGACGTGTTGTATGCGATATCGAGCAATGGCTGTTCGATACAAAGATAAATTAGCGGCCTACAAATTTAGCGATGATAAAGATGTGGAGGTAACGAGATTTTTTCTAACGTCTTATATACAGACCAGAAACCATTTTTCGAATAATTCCCGGCCGTAATATGAATTCTAAGAAAATCGTGATTAACCGAAACGAACCCAGTGATACCAAAAGTTTTGCGTAGTCTGATCCTTTTCCGGGAATTTTTCTTAACCGATTTCCCCCGGCTGTAGTCATTGAGCACCCTTTATTCTTTACACTACAGCCCCGGATCCAAAATGGATACAATTTCAGCCAATTTCCGGAAATCAGACGGCCGTATTGGCCAAACAATTGCGCCTATTAGGAGGTGATTCGCCGGAAGCCACGACGACAGTTATGGTAATTGCAAATAGATTCCAGGGCTTTCAAATTAGGGCTTTGTAGCGATTAGTGCGTGTAGGATATGATTCTGTCTTAGGTGGACGGTGAAAGCCCAAAGGAATTGCCCGCAAACGCCACAATCATCTTTTTCCCGGAAGAAAAACGCGCCGAGATCACGATGAACGATGGAGCCGTTTTGTTCGAAAATGTAGACTGAATTTTTCGCTATTATCATCTATTTTTTTCATCCGACGCTGGCCTTGGTTAGGCGTTGCAATTATCAAACTGCCAATATAAAAAAATATTTATTTCAAAGGATAAGTTATTCACACATGGCATTCGACATGATTTGTACATTTGATCACGAGCCATTTTACAGATAGTAACAATTTAATCCCCGAGTAAAATTTATGTATAGATGCTGAGCAACATGGCTTTAAATAACCAGAAAAACATCCATTAATGAAGCTAACTAGTCTGTACTAATTTACGGTCTTGATGGAAATTCGTTAAGCGGCTTTCCCGAACTGAGGTGCTGTTCCAATTTACATTTCCACAAAACGCGCCGCATCGCCCATTGGTGCTCACTTTCGATGGTTTCCGACTCTGCTACCTTTGCCGCGGGCAGAAACTAAATTAACGTTCTCAAAACCTGTTTACTGAATATTAACAAGCTCATAAAAACCATTACGCCACTTTGAGCCTCAAAAAAACCCGACAGGTGAAACAATCTCACTGATCTATTTCTCAAAAACTAACACACAATCTACGAATTTCGGCTCAAACGGGGGAAGCGGGAGCAAACTAATTATTTCCACCGAAAATGACTTTTACATCGTCGATGCTGCGGACTTCGATTATTCTTCGCTTTTTTGCTGTAGTTTTTCTTGCCCTTCTTCGTCTTGTTTGCCGTCTTGGGTTTCTTAGCTTGCGAAACACTTGGCATTGCCTCCAAGGCAGGGCAAAATTTGTGCCCACTTTCCGCATCAATCCTAGCCACACCGCAAGACCAGACTCCACATGGGACATTCGGGTCGAAAGAGATTGTTCGGACTTCAAGGGATATGTAGCCGAGAACGAAATCCCAGATTCCCCAGCCCATGTCGCGGGCACGGCCAGTCCAAAAATCCTACAATCGCCATAGTCAAAAATTTTCAAAAAATAGATATGTACAAGGACCGTACTCAAAAATAGCAAAAAGCTAGCGCCTGAAAACAACCGAAAAATCCTTACCACATGTTCTCCCATCGTCTTCAAAATGAATTCCTGGTCAACAATATCCGCCCTCCCTTTCAGCACCTAAAAACATTCTTCTGGTTTATTGTTTGTGGCCAACCAAAAACCCACCTTCCCAACGGCTTCAACCCCGAATATCGCCAGCTTATGGAACAACTTTGGCTTCACTGTTTTACTAAATAACAGAATCAACAAAATGTGACTGTTCCCCACTCAAAAAGATTATCCTTCATCAACATCACCAAATCCAGCAGTGTGTCGATGGAAAATGAATTTTGAAGGTGAATTCGCTAAAAATGGCTATAAGCTATGTTCAAAGTGTAACAACCTGTTTAATAAACCATTCAACCTCTTTCCGAATGGACGGGAAGAGAAAACGATCGGCAAGTGTGTAAATGACGACAATGTTTTTTTCTGAATTTAATTATTGGGTGTCACGCGGGGGAAATTGCTAAAAAAAAACGTGGGGTCACGCGGGAAATTACCTGTTATTTGTGTTTCTCGTTCGCAGCTCTCGTCATTTGGACAAGCATAATCCAAAAATTCGACCATTTCTGAGACAGGGACATCCGGGAGTTTGACCGTCCGATTTAAGGACTCAATATATTGACCGCAACAAATTCTAAAAATTACATAATTAATAGTAATAATGGGTAAACTAGCCAATTCAAACTTACGTTTGAAAATAATTACTCATAGCGGCCAGATAGCCACCATTTGCATATAATTCATGTCCATCGCATATAATTCTGAACGTTCGTTGTGGAGTCGAATCGTAGAAACGGCTTGACGTCGTCATATTGGAAAACCTGACAAGTTTAAAACATTCCATGTCTAAAAAGTTGACGCCAAAAACTGGAGGAATGGCGGGCTTCGTGACTCAATCAAAAATGTAAAAATTATGCCCTCTAGATTGACCAGAGAACCGCAGAAAATAGCACGGGATGCCGGCGGGATGTAAATAACAATATCCCCCTCCCCCATCCCTCCCTGTAGCTTTCCACCACCCTCTAAATACCAGGTGGGCTCCCATGGGAGACACGCCCATTTCCGGGGCCCCACGCTCTTCATATTTTACCGGGGAAAAGACCCCAAAAGACAAAACAAGGAACGTGTAGCCTAGGGCCAATTTATGCCGATTATATTGTTGTCGCCCGTAGCTACGAGAAGATACTCGATCCGCCCTGGTGCCTTTCAACAAGTGACCCGTCGGGCTTTTGGACCCTACATCGTGAGGTTCTACACTATATGCTGGCAGAGCACTGATCATATTAACAATGGCGTGTAGTAAGTGGGAATTAGATTGAGTCATCCTCGAAACATTGCGTAGGAAGCAATAAAAACGTGAGGGTTTTCTGGAATTAACCAGCTAATCCGCGACGCCGGCCAACACTCTGCTACAGGGTGCTGAACCGTCTAGGAAGTGCCAAACCGGTTTGAAAATCCTGCTTAACACTGGATTGTAGTCTCTGTTCAAAAACTGAAAAAATGTCCGTTTCCCCAGACCTCACAATTTACAAAGGTATCTTGTGCAAAGTCTACATAATACTTTGGACCTAAAACCTACGAGAAATATATTACATTCAAGCAGGTGAAAATCTTTGCCCGAAGGTCGACCGTCATGACACCTGACCTTCATTAAGCTGATTTATTGCTCGTTTGTTGCCCAGTTTGGTAAAAGTCATGTTGAAAGTATGTGTGCAAATTTCTAAGAAAAATTTCTGGAATGATCGCGTGCGTTGTGACATTTTGCCTACATGGTGCCCCCAAAAAAAGTTCCTGCTTGGACTACATGATTACTAAGTTCGACTAGACTGGGTCCAGTCTTGCTATTTCGGTGCTTCCCGGTTATCGGGGGTCGGTTATTTTAGCGAAGGTCGGTTGCGAACTTTTTTTCTATATATCGTGCGGCTCGGCTAATTAACAGCTGGCCGTTTTTATAGACTTGTGCGCCGTTTGAAATGGTTCTGGACTGTTAGCGGGGAGGAGACATTAAGAAAAACGTCATAAAACATGTAGAAACATTTTTTTCTTTTTCGGTCTAACGTATATGAAAATGGATAAAACCGCGCCATAACCCTAGATTTCGTGACTATAGGATAAATATTTTTAAATTTTTGATTATCGGAAGCTACTAAAAACAGTATTAAAATAAACTACAATTTATCACTAGGCATGTATAGGCTAAACAAAAAGAAGGTGCCATCCGACCCCCGCTAAAATAACCGACCCCCGATAACCTGGAAGCACCGCTATTTCCACTATAAACTCTAATTCCCCGTAATGGTATTTTATGTTTGAAAAATAATCGTAGATGACTGAAGATAATCGTGGAAATCTTCGTAGATGTCCACTAACCAAATGGACTGCTAAGCTGGTAAATGGATACATAAAGTGCGGGTTCCAGAATTCGCAGAAAGCACACTTCTAGTTGTTAACTACCAGGTGCCTGGCTACAGTATGTGGACTCGACAAGGACCGGAAATCTCGACGATTTTTGGTACTACAAATTCAATACCTAGAAAAACACATTTCCATACGCTATTGGAATCCCAAGTATCAGATTCCCACGGCCACAAAACACACAGCAAAAATCATTGCGTGATTAAAAATGCGTAAATGCGAGTGACCGGCCCTTAGATCTTTGCTGGGTCAGGTGTTCGGTAATTACAGCTTATCCAAATATTCTGTATGTAATTTACACACTTTGGCATATAAAAACGATGTGGGTCACCGAATAAGCAATAATTACGGTTGGAAAGATCGAGGCGCTGCCTAAAATAAGCCGGTGTAGATCTGGCAACACTCTGGTTTGGTTTATCGTGTCCGTCGGCTCCGATCGACCAACTCCGACAATTTTTTCGTGGGAGCCGCGTTCGCTGGCTGTTCTCTGAACCAGAGAGCAACAGCCAAAGATAAATTGTCCTTTCTACTAAATTCAAACTATCTTTCGTAAGGTCCGCCTGCCCAGACATGATTTTAGAATTTAAATTAGAACAATCTCGACGTTTCGCCATCGTCACCTATATTTCATTTGCATTCCAATTTTCGCGGCATTAAAAATACGGCTAATCATGTTTGTCCGTCTCTCCGTTTGTCATCTGTAAAAGATTGCGCGCCGCGCCAATTATTGTGAAGGGTCATTTTTTAGGAAACAAGAGTGCAGTCGGAAGGATTAGCGAGCAATTCAGACGCGGCTACGCATCGTCAATGCGTTGGTGATTGTACGCTATACTCGCTAGGTGTTATTTCCACGAATCTGCAAAAAAAAGAGGGAAAACAGGAGGGTAATAGAATTCCTGATTCGTTATGAAAGCGGCTATGACAAACGTATTTTTGCTTAGCGAAGATTCTACTACAAACTCAGGTTCGATCAACCTCAAAACACATTAATAAGTCGTTCTAAACGGCTTTACGAGAACGTTCCCATAGTAAATCGGATTTCAAAAGCCCGATTTTTGCATATTTTTCCTGAATCTATCGATTACTCCAATATAAACTTCGAAAAAATTTTGCTCGACGGCTGCTATTGCTCCACAATTTTCTAAAAACGGGGTTTGTTCTCAATTTTAAGCCCTGTCAAAAAAGTTATGCGCACCCGAATTAGCTTCAAAAATGATTCAATTTAGGATGCTAGGCCGATTTTACAGACGTATATTTCTGTTTTTCAAGGTTTATCCATTACAAGCCCAGCCAACAAACAAACAAACAAAGGTTTATTTTATGAATATTTCTGTGTTTCAAAATCCGTTATTATATTATAAATCCACGAAAAACCATTTTTTGGGCGTCGCGCACGGCTTGCCTATTTTCCGTTGGGGAGCCGGGTTGCGCCAGGGCAGAAAGGGGCTCCAAAGCGCGATACGCGGGGACCACCATGTTCGAAAAGCAGTATATTGCTGTAGGTCGAATGCCCAGTTTTACATTTGATTTTCCCAAATTTATAATATAAAATGCTCAAATCAAAAATTTAAATTAGGGAAAATGGCTCTGCTAGTCTCGTTTAAGTTTTGCGAGAAGTCTACCGGGTTAAAAATATTTTATAAGCCTTTTCTAAAGCGAAGCCAGGCGCACTTCTTGGGTGGTCTGATATTTTTAGTATATTTTTGCTACGGTGACTGTCAGATAACATTACTTATTTATTGAAAACTACATAGAGCGAACTTGACTATATTGTTTAACAGACTGTCTACTCTCCACCTCTATCTCTTTAATGTATTATTTGTGGGATGCTCTTAGGTCATCTAAAAACTTCGGTTTCATCACCAATTTATTGCCGATTCACGGAGTGGTACATAATAACAATGATAAAATTCAAGCATACATGATAAGGGGAAAATATAGTAATCACGGAGCGCCAACATCAAATAAAAAACACTAAAATTTAAAATAAAGGAATAAAGCCCTCAAGACGCCCAAAACCGGGTGTGATATAATTAAAAGGACAGAATGATGGAATAACTTCGGGAATAGTATTCGATTGAGTGGTTGGCGGAATGAAGGATGAATTGGGGGAGAAACCGATTCGTAAAAAGGGAAATGGGAAGTAGGAGAAACAGATTGCGAAGATTCAGAAGAAATACTTCCCAGACTTCCTTTGCGTTGTTCAACTATTGATACCTTCTGTTCCATCAATTTCGGGACGGCCGTCTTGCCATAAGTATCCTCAGAAGTTATCGGAATATGTACCACCACACCAGAACGGAGCTTGCGACGAATGCTGAAAAATGAAAAATTAATTACTGAACTTAAAATCATTAATACATTGTAAAGTGGTAAGTAAATAGACGTACTATTTGGGATCATCGAAGTGATGGAAGAGTTTGATTTGGTGAGGAAGAGCCGGTTGGATCTCTCCATTGGCGAGAAGTTTCTCATAGAGAACGAGAGGCAATCCGTTGACAAGTTTATGTACAAATTGACATCTTTGAGCATAAGGGCATCGACCTTCGGCCGAGAAATTGGCGCACAGTTTGGTCTTGTATTTGGTGTCTTCGGGCTTGATGGTGGGACGAAGTTCATCTTGATGATGGGCAAATCGGCAGAATATTCCGAATGGACATTCATTTAGACGGACAAATGTTTTGCACATTACTGTCTTGAATGAATGTTGTTGTTTCAAGGCTTTGTTTACAGCCTTCATTGCCGAGAGCGATGCGATTTCAGCAGTAGGGAGTTGGAGTAGTGATGGGATCGGTTGCATGTTGTTGTAGTTGTTGTAGAATGATGAATTGATGAGCATAGGCCAACCACCGCCTCTTATATACTTTAATGGTATCTAATCGGTGTCCTGAGGATACGCTACTTTCCACTACCATCCGGTGATTTGGTGTAATGCACTAAAGAAAAGTGGTGTCGGCATCTGCCGCGCAGACCAGCGTTTGTGATGAGCATGATGCAGACGTTAGAATGACCACGAATATGAGCTATGTGATAAACTGCAGCCAAATATTTTTGGAAAACAGATAAATTTAAATAAAAGTATTTTTATTTGACATGAAAAACCGACGCCGAAAGGGTAAAATTATTTATCAATATTAATCCAAAATTGTTGCCGTTTTTTCATGAATTACGCCGAATATCGCCTGGTATATTGTCGAATAACTTATCGATTCCTTCTTCGGCAGCCTTCTCCTGGTTTTTGACTAAATAGCTTCTGATACGTTTCAGTGCTCGAATATCACGCGCTTGTAGATCGTTTACATTAATATTGAACCTAAACGTATTCAATCATATCTAAGGGCTTCTTCGATACCTTTTCAACAACAATATATCTATCTCATCGGGGCGGGATATTGGTTTGTCCTGCCCTAAAAGTATAATAATCGGTTTTCATGTGCGCAATTTCTTGGATTAATTCATTAACTAGCCAAACATTCACTTACCTCTAATTGGCGCTGGTTTCTCGGATTTATAGGCATCGATAGGCTCAGTTAATAACTAATCAATTCTACGAATTTCGGAAATTCATTACCCTTCCTCCAACAGTATTATCAGACCCTTTAGGCTGATTATTATTTTCCAAATTGTAAGCATCGCGCATTTGCTTTATTTCGTCAACGTAATGCTCTCGACGTAGAGCGTCCTTCAAATAGAATAGTAATTGTAAGGAGTATCTCTAAATTACCATAGCCTTCACTTTAGCTTCGAGCAATTCCTGCTGATACTGGCCTTGCCGTGCAAGATATTCTGTATAAGCATTTCTAAAACAATGTAAGTCAAGGTAAAAAATAGCATTATTCTCACGCATAACTCTGCACGGCTTGTGAATATCCCGCCAATTCACTCGCGTATAATTTAGTTTTTTCTTCATTAACGAATTGTGTGGGATTCTAAGATACGCTCGAAATCAAAACAAAATATTACATCACTATCCTCTTCTTTTTCTATCGGAGCCCTTGTCCCAGAATTTTCTTCGGCCCATGGATAAGCTGGTTGGGCATTAACCTTATTGAAAAAGTGCAGAAATTCTTCTAAACAAAAAAAATTCAATAGAAGAATTAAATCTCACCTTGTATCTCTTTCGCAAATATTGCTGTCAGAAGAATGACGATGATTAATAGTCGTCCAAACATGGTAATTGAAAGGAAAATGGAAATCGAAAGTTTCTTTTTCTTTTGACCTGCTTTCTGTCTGCCTCCGGTCACTACGGGAGGATCCGGTTCTGTGCATTTATCGGAAAACTCTCATACATGCACGAAGATTTCTGGTTCAAGGTTTTATTCATCGGGTATGTGCAAAGATAGGTTGATCCGATGCATATTTATAAATACAGAACATCAAGCGTTTGACATCTTAGCGAAGGATTCCGATTCTGATGTTGGGACTCTGTATTAAATCCGTCTAGTCTTTCCCACAAATTTATTCTGAAATTGGCACATAGAAAGTAACCATGAGCCTTACCTCAACGATGCTTTTGATTTTAGCAAATTCATTTTTAGTTTCAGTTTCTGGTGTGCAAGACGTGAACGACTTCCAAAAAATAATTAACTGAAATTCAAATAACTTAGTTGAAAAACACAAAGACCGAGCCTACCATGCTTGGTAGAATAGAAAGCTCTTCTAGCGTCTTCTTCAAGACCAACGGATATTTAAAAGATATTTCCAACTGGTCAGCATAGCTAAGAAAATGCGCCCTTCGCAATGCCATACAATAAACAGACTAAAACGCAAACATGCTTTAAATAATTACACAAACTGATACCTCAGCAAAGGTTTCTTCAGCCGTTATCGCAACCTTCTTCACTCGTGCATATTTTTCCCAATTAAACAGAATGGTATCAATTTGATTTAATGGCAGTTGAAAGCTCCTGAAGAACACTTAGTACTTTACAAGGTCGAACCAGTTGTTTCCGGCTTCAGAAATTTCCACAAATGGAACGTCAGAAAAGGCATCGTAAATGGCAGCCCGGTGTATCCGTATTACATTTCCATCATGTTGAGTAAGGTTTATCGTCTGAAAGATATGTCTTATTGTTTTTCAATCCATCCATTCCCTCCCCAAGTGCAATAAATTAGCCCTCAAGCTTCCCCAAGCTCGTTTCTTCACCTAATTTGATAAAACGGAACCGGATTTTTTGATCTTCTCGTCCCTATGGCCGGAATGCCGCTTTTTCGGGGAAAGCCAAGGCAAAAACGGTCCTTACCAACTTTCCAAAAAGCTGACAGATGATTTCAACCTTCCAAAGACAAGTTGGTAGCCATAGTGAATCGGAAATACGCGCATTCTTTTCCTGAAATATGCCTTAAAATTTCTTTGCTAATACCGGGAATATAGAAGCGTGTCGGAAGCGTTCAGGAATGGCTAGGCGTTGCAAGACATTTCTTTGCAGGTCTGTAGGTAGGTTTAGAAAGCCGAACATTATTTCCAGGGATTGATAGTCCGAGGGGGGAAAGGGAGCGGAGCTCCAACAGCTGTCACTCAACCCGGAAACGCAAAAAAAGGACGTGCACCTTGGGAAAGGAAAAAAATATCTGGAGGTCAGGATTTCAAAAAGGGTTGAAAATGTTAAAAGCGTTTGGTAAACATTAATCGATATACCAAAAATTAATACGCACTGATTTAAGAGCCTTGACCTACAAATTTAATAACTTTAACTGTTTATAGGTGCTAAGTACGCATCATAAACAACTCAGTTCATAAAGTACTCAGTAAGGATGTAGCTAGTGTATAACCCAAAAATTCTATGTAGGTTCAGTACACGTTCCTCGGCCACATGCTAACAGGCTTTTCCCGGATCGAACCGGGTATCGTTTTACGTGAGCCGCCGGAGTGAAGAGAGTGAAACTAGGAAGGGATCCAAAATAAGGATGAAGCGCTCGGCGAGCGTCTCTAGGCCCTAAAAACAAGACCGGAATTATTTCTCGTAGCCGTGGACCGGTGATAATGTCGACAACAGATCATTCTCGTTTCGTGCACCCGGCTGCAGTCTAGTCGTGCAGAGACATTTATCTAGGGTCATAGCGGCTCATTCAGCACTTTTCTTACCCTATAAAGCCGCCACTTCTTTTTCATTGGATTGCTGAGGGTTTGTTTATTCACCGGATATCCATATATATTATTTCCCGAACTAGCCTGGTAAATTAAAATGGAACCAGCAACAAAATACCTGCTTTGCCTTGCCCTTTTCATAGGTAAATTCATCGATTTTTCGTCTCAAAGACTTTTAGCTTCCATTAATGCTTGTATGAGAATGCCAATGCCTCCTGTTACGACTACCACCACGTAAGAGCCTAGTTTTTTACTTGTTAAACTCGCATAGCTTTTCAAATAGGAATCGAATTTGCGACCAACTGAAATAAATCAAGTTTCAAGCTAATTTATTTATTTTAGCCCTCAACCCACCACAACAACGACACCGTAAGCGTTTTGGCTGTATGATATTCAGAGGGTCTGGGACTACATAGCCGCATTCCTGCAAAAATTTTGCATGGCAATGCGGATTGAAATTATTTAATTTTTGTCTAGGATTTTCCTTTGGTGTAGCCACCACAAACACAGATAAAACCACCATAACTCCAACCACAACCTCAATTGTCTCTGAATCTCCATATGTGTGATTTTCGATTCAATTAAATTGGTTCACGGAAATTTTCATGGCTTGTGCTTTCATTTAAAACGGCCGATAACAATAGTAAATTATCTAGTAAACGCTGAAAAACTGCTTAAAAATAGTATAGTACTGAAAGAGCCTACGCAGCGATAGTCAACCCATTAGAGGCCAATATTTGCAATATGATCTAATGTAATGAGATGTAATTCAGTGAATCCACTACTACCATTGGCACTGAAGCAACCACCACCACAAGCACGTCGGTTTTGTCTAAATTGCTGTATTTGCCTGAGCATGAGAATTGCTCCTTTCGGGCTTTAAAAAAAAAAAAAAAAAAAAAAAAAAAAAAAAAAAAAAAAAAAAAAAAAAAAAAAAAAAAAAAAAAAAAAAAAAAAAAAAAAAAAAAAAAAAAAAAAAAAAAAAAAAAAAAAAAAAAAAAAAAAAAAAAAAAAAAAAAAAAAAAAAAAAAAAAAAAAAAAAAAAAAAAAAAAAAAAAAAAAAAAAAAAAAAAAAAAAAAAAAAAAAAAAAAAAAAAAAAAAAAAAAAAAAAAAAAAAAAAAAAAAAAAAAAAAAAAAAAAAAAAAAAAAAAAAAAAAAAAAAAAAAAAAAAAAAAAAAAAAAAAAAAAAAAAAAAAAAAAAAAAAAAAAAAAAAAAAAAAAAAAAAAAAAAAAAAAAAAAAAAAAAAAAAAAAAAAAAAAAAAAAAAAAAAAAAAAAAAAAAAAAAAAAAAAAAAAAAAAAAAAAAAAAAAAAAAAAAAAAAAAAAAAAAAAAAAAAAAAAAAAAAAAAAAAAAAAAAAAAAAAAAAAAAAAAAAAAAAAAAAAAAAAAAAAAAAAAAAAAAAAAAAAAAAAAAAAAAAAAAAAAAAAAAAAAAAAAAAAAAAAAAAAAAAAAAAAAAAAAAAAAAAAAAAAAAAAAAAAAAAAAAAAAAAAAAAAAAAAAAAAAAAAAAAAAAAAAAAAAAAAAAAAAAGGGGGGGGGGGGGGGGGGGGGGGGGGGGGGGGGGGGGGGGGGGGGGGGGGGGGGGGGGGGGGGGGGGGGGGGGGGGGGGGGGGGGGGGGGGGGGGGGGGGGGGGGGGGGGGGGGGGGGGGGGGGGGGGGGGGGGGGGGGGGGGGGGGGGGGGGGGGGGGGGGGGGGGGGGGGGGGGGGGGGGGGGGGGGGGGGGGGGGGGGGGGGGGGGGGGGGGGGGGGGGGGGGGGGGGGGGGGGGGGGGGGGGGGGGGGGGGGGGGGGGGGGGGGGGGGGGGGGGGGGGGGGGGGGGGGGGGGGGGGGGGGGGGGGGGGGGGGGGGGGGGGGGGGGGGGGGGGGGGGGGGGGGGGGGGGGGGGGGGGGGGGGGGGGGGGGGGGGGGGGGGGGGGGGGGGGGGGGGGGGGGGGGGGGGGGGGGGGGGGGGGGGGGGGGGGGGGGGGGGGGGGGGGGGGGGGGGGGGGGGGGGGGGGGGGGGGGGGGGGGGGGGGGGGGGGGGGGGGGGGGGGGGGGGGGGGGGGGGGGGGGGGGGGGGGGGGGGGGGGGGGTAGTCTCTCACATATTAGCCGCACCATTGTACGATTTCAAGTGCCCAGAATTTTCCGAAACTTCTCTGATTTTCGACAGGTTAGACAAATAATTTACTCAAAGGAATAGCGTCGCAGAGTAGCTAGAATTTCGAATTGGGAGATTCATAAACCCGGAAAATCAGCATTTTTTAAATTTTGGGATAAGAATTTTTAGGTTCCAAGGTCAGAAAAGCCGAACTATTGATTCTATGTAGCCTTCATAAGATAGAAAATGTGAAACGACGATACCTGCGTTTAAAAAACGTAAAATTTAGTGAAGCAACGACAACTACGGGAGAAACCACCACAACTGCCGCTGAGACTACCACGACAAGCGTAGAAACGACGACGACAACGACGGAAACCACGACGACTACTACCGAAACTACGACAACTACTACTGAGACGACCACTACGAGTGAACCTACAACAACGACTACGGAAGCAACGACAACTACAACTGAACCGACGACGACGACCATGACAACCACCACCGAGTAGGTTTTGCCCATCAAAATACTGTGTTTTGACTGACTGCAAATTTCAAGGATCTCAGGGATCTCTGGACTTTACCCCGCGCAACCAACTTAACCGACTATGGCTCAAAATTGTTGTTTAGGAAGGTATGAGATACCTAATAGCACCGACCCAAATCGGAACTCGTTGTAGCTTGTAGGCAATCCTGTAGGCTGGCGGAGTAGGGGCTTCACAAAGGTGCCCCAGGGGTGGCGGAAAAACTGGAAACAAGAATGTACTCTGAAGTGATAAGTAATGCTTTTTACTTTCTAGGGCAACCACGACTACAACCGAGCCAACGACAACCACCACTGAACCCACAACGACAACGACGATGACAACTACTACTGAGTAGGTCCCTATGAATTTTGAATTTTGAGCGATGAAACATAGAGCCATTATTATTCAAATCAATGCTCCGGATTTGAAAATTCTCACAAGGAGTGTCCTTTTTCAGTCATCCGCAATCACTCGATAGAGAATTCCATTTTGAACACGGCTCCGTTTTCCATTTTTGCAGAATGTCGATCCCTGATTTTATAATATTAAAAAATAGCGGCGTTCTCTTACCAAGCGTGCCCTGCGAGCCCAAGCGACGATTTCGGGCACAGTTTTTCTCAAATCAAATCGGGATTTTATGTGAAATGCGGTTCCGATGTCCGGTCAAAATTTAATTGCGACGAAAACAAAGAGAAAAGTTTTGCGTTCGAGGATCATTAACATTAATAGGACAACCACCACCGAGCCGACCACCACCACCACGACAACAACCACAACAACGACGTCCACCACGACGACTACAACTACAGTAACTTCCGGTAAAGACAACAATTTTATGACAAAACGACCCTAATTTTAGTCTGCTGCCAACTGCTTGAATATTTCTGTGGCAACCAGGATTACGGTGATGTACAACTTTGACGCCAGTGGTTGTCGCGTGGCAACTTTCAGCGGCTGCACAACTTATCGGTGAGATAATTTGCAAAATCTCAGTAAAAGTACTTGCTTATAGAACCCGCGTGGGTGTAACTAATACAGCTATCACCAACCCTGTCACGTAATCGAGACCAATCAGGAGCTCCTAAGATGAGTATGTATAAAAATGGTTTAGCAAAAAAAACGTTATTTAGGTTCCCCGGCGGTGTCCAAAACACTGCGCAAGTTCAGTGTGCCAGCTAAAACGACGATATTTTATGGTAACAACACAGCATTGTCGGTGATTTGGACATTAGCAACGTCCAGTCTTTCTTACGGGTGTATAATAATTGTTAAAAAACGTGCGTGGCAAATATATGTAGTACAACAACGCTTCCGTCACAATAACGCACAAATCGGCACTGGAAACGAAATACGGGATCGTCCCTCCTAAGGGACGGATCTCGACGTCTTGAAAGGTGACCGGATTTTTGCTGCCCGCCCTCAGGACCTGATGTGGATCTAGCCGGCAACTGATCACTTCCCCCGTAATTCACACATAGACCCCTCCGTCTAGCCAGCCTATTTATTCAAATAAGCACTTCGGCCGATTTTTCGCTAGATTTCTCACGAGATTCTATATTCTATAAAGCACTAAAAAAATGGAATCTACAACCAAATATCTAATTTCTTTCGCTATTTTATTAGGTGGGATATGCCAAACTGAAATTATGACTATTTAGCGGCAACTAATGGTTGTATGAGAATGCCGATGCCTCCGGTTACGACGACCACGTAAGTAAACTTCTAGAAATGTTTCTACATATTTTAATTATTATATATTATTTATAATATATAATCCTTTAATTTTTATTTTAGGGCCGCACCAGATACCACGACTACCGTGTAAGTTGGTTCATATCACGCAATATTTTGAAATGTATTGCACATTTTTTGACCCAATCAAATAGCTTTTCGGCTTGGCAATATTGACATCACTTTATATATTATTTTACCACATCAGTGAGCACAATAAAAAGCATGTAAACTAACGACTATTATTTTTCTAAAGCTTGATAACCAAGCCGGCACAGATGCAACCACCACAACAGGCACCGAAGCAACCACCACGTATGTGAATCAATCATTAAAAAGTTTCTGTTGTTAATCGCATGAAAACACGCAAGGAAATGATTCAATGTTGATTTTAAATAGGATGTAAACACCAATGTTAATTTAGTCTTTTCTTTTTTAAGAAAAATCGCCTAAAATACGGTGGTTTTAGGACAGGGACTACTACTACTGGTGAGACTACTACGACCGGGACAACAACTGAAGCCACAACTACTACGTCTACAACCACTGAGTAGGTTTTTATGGTTTTGGGGGTAGCACCAAAGCGAAAAGCGTTCGATTATGTAGATGTTAGATATAGAAATTTCAATTTGGGATAACTGGCTAATTAATTTGTAAAAAAGCGAACAAGCAATTTCTACTGGTAACATGCTATGTTGGTCATACTTGCATCCTAGCCAGCCTGACCTCCCAAGGCGTCTATTTGCTTCATAGAAATACTTTATTTTTTTGCTCTATAGGCCACTGACGACAACAACCCAAGTGACGACCACTACAACCGAAGTGACAACCACTACAACCGAGAAATGACAACCACCACTGCGCCACTTACTGGTAGGCTCAACCATAAAAATTTGCCATATGATTTCAACGGAATTTTTTATATAGCCTAACAACAATGTGTTTTCAGTCTGCTCGATGTGCCCTGATATGACAATCACGGCCCCTGCCTCAGCAACATACAACTTCGACACAAACGGCTGCAGAGTAGCGACACTCTCTGGATGCGCGACATACAGGCATAATCTTTCCAAAGTACTTCAAGATCTCGTTTTTTAGAACCCAGGTTGGTATCACAAGAACACCACTTTCCAGCCCGGTGACCTGTAAGGAAACAGCCTCTGCTCCGAGATGGTAAATAACTAAATTTATCAATTAAAAATATCTTCCAGGTACACCGCATCGATCCAAAACTCCGCAACTGTGCAGTGCGCTAGTTAAAGTCCTTGAGCAGGTTGTGTGCTGCGGCAACTAATAAATTAATAAATTCATCGATGTGATCCAATTCGACTAATAAAGAGCTTCCCTTGAAAATATTGTAAATTTGCGTATCAACACATTTCCAGGATGTGGGGGGGGGGGAGGGTGTTATGCGGGCGGGGGGCAAAGGGCGAGGATGCCTATGGGGTGGGTGCCGTAAGCTGAAATGGGGGATGAAATCCGAGACATCTTTTCCCCTCTCGACCTGCCTCCTTGCAGACAAATTCACACAAGGATTCCCCGGCGTTCAGAATATCTTGCTTTGTCTAATTCGATTTGTCAATCGTTTCGGGTTTTTAGAAAAAAAAGGTGTTTGAATATAGAGAGTACAAAGAATGAGTTCGCTAAAAACTCAGAGAACCGTACAGTTTTTAGGTTTTTGGTATCTTTTAAAACTTCCGGAAAAACGAAAACAGGAAAAACAAGCCGTTGCCGATACACTTCAAAAGAGTGTGCGGCTTGCAAGAAAACCCTAACCTTGAGAAAATCGTAAAAATCTCTATAAAACGAGGAAATAGTTTTCGTTTAATCGTTCAATCGGAAAAATCTCCCGTCTTCTTTACCATTTCTAGGAACTTCTGAATCTAATAAAGATCCATACCAGGTAAAACTTCTTTCAGGACCCCCAGAAGGGTGGTTTTGGGCAAACCTTCCACATATATTCGTTTGACAAAAAATTCATCGTTGCTACCTTGAAGTTTAAAAATTAGAAAATGCAAATATTTTAATAAGATGCTTTGAGCAACTAATAAGGGTATCAGTGAAACGAGTGCGTTCCATCTCGCGATTTCAAGCAAAGCGGGAGGTGTTTGGGCACCTTGTATATCCTTTTGATTAGCCAGCAAGTATTTGATATCCGAAGCTCAAACATTAAAAAATTAAAATATACAAATTTCTGAGCTTGGTGCTGCAACAGATGCATGCCCATAACGAGTTCGTTCCATCGCGCGATTTTCAACGACAGATAGTGGACCCAATTTCCGGGCCTGGGGGCCAGTGGCCGTCCTGGAAACATTTAGCGTAGTGTTAGGTGAAGAGCTTCCCGGGGCACCCCCTCGACCAGGCCCATTGTCTATGAGGCCATCTTTGCCCTGGCCAGCCCGGCCATCTTTTTCCGGCGAGGGCCATCCGCTCAGCCGTTTGCGGGGCCCAGTCTTACTATTCAGTAATTGGGAAGCATTGTTTAGGTGCGCAACATTTCTTCGGATTTTTGCCGAGTAACAGGTTAATTTAGTTAATACAATTTTTGCAGGTGAATAGTGGGCGTTTCAAAAAGCAACGCCCTCTAGCGGTCCGGTTAAATATCCAATTATTATAAGCTTTCAAGTTTTAAAAATTATTTTAATGGTAATTTTAAGGTCATTATATCAAAATGTGTTTTTGGTGGAAAGCAGAGGTACCACTGCAGATAACAGGAAAAGTCGATCTTCGGGTTTTCCATATTTTTAAACCGTGTATTTATTAAGTTTAGATATATTAATATTTTTTATAACCCGGAAAATATGAAAAAGAAACTGCTTAAAAGGATCAGGATATTCCAGGATCCGTTTGAGGAACATAAAATCATGAAGAATTTTCGCTGTAAAGAAAAATCGATTCCCCCCTTTCTTTTTCACAAAAATATAGAAATTTATGACTTTTGCCATGCTCTACATATTTTCAACCTGCCATTATGATATGTATATGTGGTCATCGTTCGGGCCTCAGCGTGCGCGTAGCCGACCGGGTCAGTGGGAGGAAGGCTAACCTCTTAGAGGCTTTCAATCGAGAACTTGTGCACCAAACCCCCTAGGGGACAGACTCACAACCACCATCACCACTCCAACCCGCACCGGAGCTTCTACCCCTTACACTACTCATTGCTTCATCTAGTCGTTCGGCTTTTGACCAGCGAACGGAATATGTTCGGTGAGGTCTGCATCACTCGGTATTGGTTTTCAGGAACATGTTTTGCGTAGTTACAGCTGGAGCTCGACCCGAAGCTACGGAAGCTCACTTCCTACTGTAGTCATTTTTAGCCATCTAGGCTGTTCTAGGTCTATATTCACCAATCCGCATTCAGGATTTGGATCAAGTTTCCGTTTTTTTGGATGAAAGCTGGAAGGCATAATTTGCGTGCGAAAATATGTGCTTAAGGAATAGGAAATTTGAAAAAGACCGGGTGGTTTAACAGCTTCTTAAGTATTTTTGGTGGATTAGATAAATCCTTGGGTAGTTACCGTAATCCTAAAAACTTTTATTAAAGTAAATTCGACAGTTAGATAACGAATAATATCGTAATAAATCGAATAACGCCCAATCTTACTATATATAAAAAAGTAGTGTCTGTCTGTGTGCGCGCATCAGGTGCGTAATGGCCTCGGGATGACTGCACACTAACAAAATTTTCAAAAATTAGCGGTTTTGGACGTTAAAATTAAGTTTTTGTTGAAAAATCCAGGACCCTTTTTGTTAGGAAAGAATTAGTATGCGCCGGAAGTCGGTAGCCTATATAAAGCGAAGAGAGGTACCGTTGTCATTTTTTGTCTTCAAAAATCGTGAGTTATGCAAAGCGCAGAATATCATGGGATCAGACGGGGCCAGCGTTGAAAAGTCGCGAAGCGGCTTTTCAACCCTGCTTATTTATTAATTCATCTAAATAATTTCAGCAGTCTGATGTTATTCTTTGGACTCGAATATCACGATTGTCGTTGTCTTTTTAATACAGATTCCTCCTTCCGTTCTTCTCCGTTCCTAAATGTGCAAGCCCCACAGGCAATTCATAGCGGAAATGCTATTCTCAGTGAAATTGATATGCAATTTGACCCGCCGACCATTACTCACTATGCCTCCTTCCCCTCCCTCCTCAGTCAGCTGTTATGGCTCAATTCAGAGCCACCCCCAAAATATTATCCCTGTTGACCCTTGGTCAGACTAATAAAATCAGTGTACTTTGGGGGGTTAGGGTGGGAGGCATTGTGCATGGGAATTGAGCAAGAAGTTGAGTGACCATTGGTATATGCATAAGGCCTTTTGGTAGTATGGCTTTGTTCGGGACCGCCTTCAGAGGGGAGCGCAGTCAGCTGTGCCTCATTTGGCGTGTGTCCGGCGTTTCTGCCCTTCTTTTCCATCGTTTTCTGGGTCGCATTCCATTGCTGGGACCGCCTGTGCAGCTATATATGATTTGCATTTGCTCTAGCAGTTCCTTGGAATTTTTAGAATATTTTAAGCACCATATTCATACGGAAAAGATCGGAAAAGACCAATTTCTCGCTAAACTCTACAAAAGTCCATGGCCTCTGATTAACGATTCTGACGCTACTTTTCTTCAGCCGAGCAAAAAAAATTGGCCTTCCTTCTTCCCGCTACAGAACCCCTCGTGAGCACCTTACGGAGAAGTCTCTTCTAGGTTAGCACGACCCTCCAGATTCACTAAAAGCCACTCCAGAAACCCTCCCTAGGAGCCCTCGTCGAGCCGCGCCTCCCCTCCCATTGAGAAAGTTTGGGCAGTGTAAGCTGATTATGGGTACGTCTCGATTGCCTTCGAAACCCCCCGAAGGAGCTAGCTTCTTCCACACTCCCGGGGATACCCTAAGTAATGATGGGAGAGGTTTTCTGTTTTCGGATACGCTATCGGGTCGCACTTCTTTTTTTTCAAGAAAGATGTCTTGCATAGATTTTTAGCTAATTACCGTATTTCCTCTAATAGCAACCAGTTCTATCAGCAGCCCCCTCTAATTAACTTTTAATGATTGAATCGACTTTTTTTTCGTTAAGAGTAAACGTTTATGACGATTTATGGCGGTTAAAAAGATAATTGTGCGAATTTACCAGCTGTTTATGATATTTTGATCGACCGGAATACAAGGCGCTTCCATTAGAATTCGCATATTCAAAAAGATATTCGTTTAGGGTAATGGAAAAATAGTCACGCTTGATTTTGTTAAAGAGATTATAGGGATTTGGTTTTGTAGCGCACAAAATTACACAGCATGAGATAAGTTAAACGTTTCCGGGAAAGGTCCCACTATCATTCAAAAAAAAGCCGAAGAAACCGCGGAATACCCATTGGTTCAGATTGAGTCTTCAGATCCATCCCACCCGGGTGAGGCCCTCACGGAATCCATTTAGATTTTTGTCAAAATGGGCAACTCGGATGGGGATGGAAAAGCCATAAGGGCCATGTGCCGGCTGCTGTCTCCTGCTTATCCCATATCTTTGGCCGGCATCTTTGTCTCTCTCAATTTTTGCGGTGGACAGGTGTCCGGGGCCACAGTCTTTTTCGCTTTTCCGTGTGGGGGGATCTGGGCTTCTCTAGTGCTGAAGGTGGTCCTCGTTTTGCTAGGGAAGAGCCGTCCTCTTGATCAGCCTCTCTCCTCACCGCAAGAGGTGTTGTGACTGATCGAGTGGCTCTCAACTTTTTTTGATTGACCAATTTGTCCTATCGTCAATCCATTGCTGTTTTTGATAGGGGACGCTGGTTTTTGGTGGGTTGATTATGAATTGGCCCTATAGCGGATTGCCGCGGCTGTTCTTGAGGTGATTCAAGCTCATTGTCATCCTCGGGCCTATTATTATTTGGCTTCAAAGGAAAATCGGATCTTTCATATTCAAATATATTTTTTGTATTGCAATAATAACTTCCAATCAGTAGAATAAAAATTCTATTTAACAATATATGAATACTAACTCTTAGGTTTTTAAAAACGCCCCTTCTTGCTCTTCAAAATTTTTTAAAAGCTTTAAAAAATTTTTATGTTGCTACCTAAAACTCGCTGCTTTCCGAAGCGATTACTGTAATAAATCAAGGAGGTAATTTGTCATTTGCTCAATTCGCTCCTAGATCTCGGATGTAGCAGTCCCAAATCCTCCATTATTAGGTTACGGTAGCCCAGATTTATGGATATCCGGAAGCTTCGGCGGCATCTTTCAACCACCACACACCGATCCTACAGCTACTAGCTTCGAAGAAATTGGCA